GAAGCATTCCATGTTGACTGTCTAAAGAGAAAAGTGAAATTTCCAGCATCCATTATGGTCTGGGGAAGTATGTCATCAAAAGGAGTAGGAAAACTTCATTTTATTGATGGAAATGTGGATACAAACAAATATTTGACAGTTTTTGAAGAATCGCTTTTACCAGTGATGGATGAATGTTTGACATCCGGCCAAGATTTTGTGTTTCAGCAAGATGGTGCAGCGTGCCAAACCTCAAAGGATATAAAATGGATGGAAGAAAATAATGTACCACTTTTGAAATGGGTTTCTAGCAGTCCAGATCTGTCACCTATTGAAACTTTGTGGCACGAGATGAAAAAGGTTCTACGACAACATCCTGCTCGTAAAATCACCGAACTGAGACAAAAGCTTCAAGAAATATGGGATTGTTTTACACCAAATTTTTGTCAAAACTTGGTTAACACTATGCCCCAAAGAATTTCAGCCGTAATAAAAATAAAGGTGATGTTCCCAATGGTAATCTTTCAATTGTTGCTTTGTTAACTTCGCGCATTTAGTCGCACATTGTTTATTTGTTTAGATGTTCTATTAGTTTTAGGTCTAAGGCCCGTATCGTCAGTCGTCCCTACAATTGTAGGGCGCGTTTATGGCCTCCTTGATTGTCATAGTTTTCTACTTCTCCGTGTCAGAGCTCTATTTTGAGGTTATGTCACAAACATCTATTTGCATCAAATTGTTCTTGCTTTTGAGTTATATCATGTTTTATCAGCCTGAAATTTCCTACAATTTAAAAGGAAAACATATCTTAACAATAGGAGAGCGCTGACGCTGACACGGGACGAGTGTAATCTAGAAATTTTTGAAGGGGAGAAAAGAGTATGACAATCAAGTAGGCCATAAACGCACCCTACAATTGTAGGGACGACTGACGATACGGGCCTAAGTGATTTCAAATATTTATTTTTTACGACTAGAGTGTATCTAAAATGTTTTTGAAAAAATAAATTGTTTAAGAAGTAAATAGTTTCGTCATGTTTAGTTTATAAAGGCATATTTTTTTACAAATCTTGAAGTGGGCCAACTGAAGTGGGAAGGGGCTTGTATATATGTATATATAGAGGGAGAAAATGATCATGCGGAGAAAGGTATATAACAAATTGTAGCAAAATCCGCAAAAAGGAGGAAAGTTGATTCAAGCAGAAAATAGTATAGGTAACCCGAGCGATACGTATTTCTGCTGGTTGGCTTCGTCAGGCCCGAAATGAATGCACATATGCAACTAAAAAGGTAGATACACATGCCCACACATCCGTATACGAGTGTAACCTGAGGAAACGAAGATGGAGAGGCAAAAAAACGATACACGAAGTCCACAACAAGAGCCATCCTACACATTGTAGTACAAAATAACTAGAAGACCTCGAATTTTCAAGGAGACATCTAACCACAAGCACGCGGCCGGTTATAGCCACTTGCTGTGGTACTTCAAGCCCAAAGGATATATACAGTGGAATCCTCTTATAATGAACTTGCTTATAATGGAAACCCGTATATATTTAAGGTCCTATAAATAATTGCATGTAAAATCATCGGATATTATAGACTCGCTTATAGCGGACTATTTTAATCCATTATTTGCGAGCTATTTTGGTAGTTCCCCGAAGCAGATTTAGCTGATGCAATCGTTTACGGCGGTTTGGCTTCGCAGTTTGCATTCGAACTTGGCCACTAGTGTTATACTGTATTTATTAGAGTTATAAGCATGTCGAAAAGTGCGAAACGTTCATTCACTTTACACGAAAAGTTCACAATAATTAGTGAGCTTGATCACGGTTCATCTCAAGCAAATATATGTGCTCCTATGGCTATAAAAAATCCACCGTGTCAAATATTTGGAAAAACAGTGACAAAATTGAAAATGACTGGAAATCAAATGGTGAAAAGAATAAATGCGGCTGTCGCTGTATCCCCAAGTCGATGATATGCTGTTTAAATGGTTTCAACAAAAGCGTGCTAATGATTTTCCAATAAGCGGACCTATGCTACAAATAAAGGCTGAAGAATTTGGGAAATTGATTGGAGATTACTTCAAACGTAGTTCCGGTTGGCTAGACAGGTTTAATGAAAGATATAACATTGTTTTTGGAAAAATGTGTGGTAAGTCAGCTTCAGTTGACAAAAACGTTACCAATGACTGTACTTCTCAAGTTTGGCCCGTAATACCCAGTGATTATTCAGATGATAACATATTCACTGCAGATAAAACCGAGATATTTTATAGAATGCTACCATATAAAACTCATAAATTTAAAGATGAAACTTGCAATTGAGGGAAACTATCAAAAGAGCGAATAACTGTTATGATTTGTGCTAATGCTTTTTTTACCGCCCTCCAAAGTTGAGGGATGGAAGGGATTTTTCACAAAAACAAAATCATTCTAAGATTTTTTGCGTTGATTTCTACTAAGCTCTGTTAAAAAGTGATATAACCATTGCTAAAACTAACCATTTAGCTCACCTCAGAAAAACAATCTCGGCCCTAAACCTAATGGTTTAGTTGCAATTTTGATTGAAAGTTCATTATCCCTTAGGGCCGTATCGTCAGTCGTTCCTACACGTCTTTATGGCCTTCTTGACGGATTCCTACTGGTCAGCGTCAGCGATCTCCTAATGTCAGGCTATGTTTTCTTCTTGAATTGTAATAAATTTCAGGATATACAGGATGACTTTGAAGTTGAGTCATTAATTTTCAGATAATGATTGTAGAAGGAAGATAAACCAAAATGTGTGTAAAAATAAAAAAAAAATTTTACCTTGTTTTATAAAGTATCCTCCCGACAAGTATTTCAGTGCGGACCTGTATTTGATCGTGAGGTCTTGGAGCACCGGCATGCCGTCACCTGATTCACGAGCCCGTTGTACTACATTAACAAAGGCACGAGGGGTTGGTTGTACTCGATTGGGAAACCGATCCGCATAAACATGTGCCATTTTATATTTCGTTTGAGCCACGCAACAGACACCACTATTCACTCACGCGTTACCGACTGACACTGACTGTATACAATGGAATAAAATAATTGTAAAAACATCGTTCCTAATTCTTTCGCTTTTTTGTTTCCGATGCGATGAACCGATAAGGCGGATTATATCCGTTGTTGCCAAACACGAGCACATAATATTATTATTGAGACAGGGCGGTACTCAAACTTCTAAAGGGCTATAACTTTGTTACTTTAATTTTACCAGAAAAATGGTAAAGGAAAAAAACATTTCTTTTGATCAGATCTACTCACTGTTAAAATAAATGACTCAACTTCGAAGTAGTAATACATGATATAAATCAAAGCCATGAACAATTTGATGCAAATAGATATTTGTGACATACACTCAAAATATAGCGCTGACACGGAAGAGTAAAAAACTATGGAAATCAAGGATGCCATAAAGTCGTCCTACAATTGTAGGAACGACTGACGATACAGTCCTTAGAACTTAAATTATGTGCAAGTCCCGAAATATCAATGACTTAAAAATATTTAACCAACTGCCACAATCTGAAGAGATTTAAGAACCTCTTAAACGACAATTTAATTAAAACAGCTTTTATAGTCTGTTAGAATATTGTCATATATGCCGTTAAATATTATTTTTTATTATCGAAGTTTTTTTTTAGATATAGGTTTTTTAAATGTAAGTTGAAAATTTATGACGTTTCCTACACAAAGTTTTTTGGTCGAGATGAAATAAATAAGTCTTATTAATGATGGATAGCAAAGTTTTTGCTCACTAGGAGCCATCATGTTTACAATGTTTCAAAACTATGGGACTCTGGAGAGTTTTATTTGGCTTCTCACACATGAGCCAGGGAAGAATTGTGATCGTGGAAATATGTCAAATTTGGTTCGGTTGACGCTGCAACAAACCATATGAGTACACTCTTGATCATTGCATTGAGGAGAAATATAGCTGTGATAGATTCTCATAGATGACGCCAGAATACCTTATTTCATCTCGGATATTTTTTAGACACCAGAATACAGTACACATTTGACTATCCTCAGATAGACGTAAAATGATCAATGGTTATAATCCAAAGAAATTCTGATGATATAGTATCTAGTTAGGCCCTCAATGACGGACTAGCCATACCACAATGGTGCACATTTTTTACCCCTATGGTATTATACCACCATAAGAGGAACCATTCAAGTATTGCGTAAACACTAAGGGGGTCATTCACGTTGCTTATTTGAGATGATGTGGGCGGTCTAGAGGTTACGCCAGCAATATTTTGTTTACTTTTCCGTTTTCTACAAGATTTAGTCGATTTTGATTTGGACACTTTGTAACCCTGATTGTTTACGTTCTAAAGCAAAACGCATCTTCAAGGATTCCCAAAATATGGATATGCTTACTCGATTAGAATCTTAGCCAAAAATGCTCCAGGTAGAAATGCATATAACCATTAATATACTGTATACTCATGTAGAGCGCAGAATGGCTCCCCTTACTAAGGAACTGGCTGGTTTGGTACTGCCTCATGACCTTTTTTTGTCTCATTTAGATGATGAAAGTGGCGTTACAATTAATCAACATCTAGAAAGATCCAATTTCGAGTCTAGCTAGAAAATTAGCAGGGGTATAGAGTTCAATGGAAATTGATGGTTATCATGTTATTGCAATGTTGGGTGAGGCGAAAAAGATCTTTCCGACTTTCCAGGCAATTAATGGTATTCAGAACATGAGCATGAAGAAAATACTTGCTTCAAGGCTTCAAATTGTGAAATGTATCAAAATCTTTATGTCAGCATGGGAGAAAGATAAAGAAATTTGCTGACAAGGGGGGAAGAGGGATTAATAATAAATTGTAAAAAATCTGCTTACATAATACTTGAATGGTCACTAAGATGATATGAGAAAGGTGTTCAAGAATGTGTTGTTTGGTACCTAGAAATATATTCAACTGAACATACGTCTCAAATGAACCAATTTTAAATTTCCAAGTAAAGAAGGTCAAGTGATATGAAATATATTTATTGATGAAACATAAAAATTGAAGTAAAAGACATTCTCATGAAAAATGCAGTACATTAAAACAGTATCAACTACAGAAATTTTATTCATTTTCAGTACTTATAAAACATTTTAAGCATTAACCTCACTTAACGGTATGGCAGGTTTATATCGAGGCAAAACCAACAATGTTCAATATAAAAATCAACTGTTGAGGAGATTCCATGGTATATTTCCCTCTTACGTGTAGAAAATATGTATTACAAGTGATATTTCAAAATGTATACCAAAAATATAAGTTAATGAGTAAAACAGGAAGAGATTGAACCAAGCGTACGATTACATTTATTACAAAAGTATTATTGCTGTTTGCAATTCTTATCTTTGTCACCTTCCTTTCCATCTGAATCATCATCCTCCTCTTCTTCCTCCTCTTCCTCGAGATCGTCATCATCAATACATTCGCCTAAAATATACCAACATATTAGCTACTCACACTCCAAATAGTCACACGGTTTTTTTGTGGCTACGTTACAATATGATACGAAATAAGTAGACGCAGAATTTTGGCATTAACACAAACGTCCGCGCAGAGCTGCCGATTGCCCATGTAAGTACGAGAGATGGATGTATAAAAATAATTCCTGCAGTTATACTGTGACCTGCCAAAAAAAACATGAAAAGACCTGTAGTGGCCATCAAGCAAACTAATGAACACGTAACTGAGCCTATGCGACTGTTTTCAAAGGACGCTTGGGGTTCCCTTGAAAACGAGCTGTGCCTTTTTAGCAGGCCAAAATGACGTAGCACCTGGCATGGCACGTAACGTCGTGCCACGTTTTGATGCAAATAAAGGGGTGTGTGTACTTTACCACTCACAGTAGATTTAAGAACTTTCGTCGATTCCTATACAATCTTGTTTGTCATATATGGGAAAATAAAATTGTAAGAAATCATGATTTTGCTAGAAACTTGCGATATTTGGTTGAAGACCTTCATACCTTCAATATAAGTCAGAATCTTCGTCTCTGAAGGAATACCAAAAAATTAGAAAAAAGAGAGAACAACTAGGCTGACAAGGAGATATTTCATTTTAAATCGTGTGGTAAACTCGTGGAACTCTCAGTGAAGAAACAGTGACTGCAACAACTGTCAATTTATTCAAGAATAAGCTGGATGACGTACTAGAAGGCACGTTAGCAAATTAGGTCCATTACTATTTATTTTATTTATGATTTACAACACTGCAAAATTGAAATATTTGCTGATGATACATTAATATATGTATATATTAAATAAAGACATTGAAACCGCAATACAGTTGTTAAATAATGATATGAAAACAATTAATTGGTTAAATGTGAATAAACTCATATCAAACACAAATAAAACAAAATCTATGATTATAGGAAATCTTTAGATGAAAATAAGATTAATCTTGCGATTACGCAAGAAAAAATAGAGTCATTCGAATCATTTAAATATTTGGGCATATACATAGTTAGTAAATTAAAATTTGAAGGGCGCTATGGATATATTATTTCAAAGGTATCCAAAAAGATAAATTACTTTTACGGAATTTCGCATAGCTTAAGCATTTGTTCTGAAAAAACGGTGTACAACACTATCATTCTTCCTCATTTGTTGTATTGCTAGACTAATTCCTTCACTACAAATGAAACTGTATTTTCAAAATTACAAAATAAAGCTATGAGAATCATCTTAAATAAAAATAAATATACTAGAATAAATTTTATGCTGAAATAACTACATACATTTTTATATTTAAGTTAAAAAGTCATCTACCAAAACTCGGAAAATTTTATTGAATTTAACAATGAGTACTATAGTTATTCTATAGTCTTTCATTTACAAAATTGTAGCAGCAATATAACGAGCAAGTCAGTCTTTCAAAAGGGATTGTACGAATTTAAAGGTGCGTTTAGATCTGAGCACGCACGCACTGATCCACCGCGAATGCTATGAGAGCACGCTCACCATGTATCTTCATGTGCGCGAGCAACAGCGGTCGCGAATGCTCACTGTGGATGGAAACGACAACCCGGCGCACAGGATTGAAGAGTTGATTGTGCTTAGTCCAGTAAATGATGGAATGGAGTAATACCTAAGTTTTAAAACTATTGCAAGAGTTTGGGAAATTACTGTGGGGACGTTAGGCTTCAAAAACGAAAAAAAAAAAAAAATATGCATGGTAACAACTACTAATCAATTGTAGCATTGAAAATTTAGACTTTTGTGAAGGATATAACAGTCTGATGGGATCATTACCTCGCAAAAAGCAAAATAAACATTTTGACACTCTGAAAAGATACTGCAAGCTGCTGTAGAAGTCTCCAGTTGCCAAAAAACGCAAGGTTATGACTACATGTTCTCCTGGTGATATAGATGTTCGAAACTGTGTACCATTTTTCATTATCGTTGGTGATACCAATGACGACAACTACGTTTCCGATTTTCTTTTCTAATTTAAAAGTTATGCAGTATAATAAATGCTGCCGCGGCTATATCTCTATTCTCCATGTTAACATCGTGCGCGAACGACTGGATCAGTCCATACATTAAACAATGAATTTCAGTTTAAACACTCTCCACGCACGCGAACGAATGCGTGCGCGTACGCTCAGTGCGTGCGTGCTCACATGTAAACGCACCTTAATAAATTAAGTAATGGTATCAAGATGTGTGTCAGTTTGAAAATGTTCAAGGGGATATTGAAAAAATATTTAATGGAAACCCAGAATTCACAGTAGTGAAATTTTGTATAAACATATGTAGTCTTGAACACAATGTATTATGTGATATGGGTACTGCGTAACCAGGATATTGTAGCATTAATGCTAAATAAATCAACAATCTAGCAAAAAAAACACAACAGTGTTATCGGACTTTTCCGCCTACTGTAGTACTGCGAATAATATAAATATGAGAGAAAGCTGTATTCAATACTTCCATTCAAGCTGATAGAATAGTACTAACCATTATAAGCTCTAAAACAAAACTTAGGGATTAGTTAATTGGAATGCTGATATAACTGAGTAACAACCTATAATAGACAATATATTTAAATTACCAGTGAAATACCACACGGCTCTTGGCACAATACGTTCTCGGATGTAATGACCAATCTCAAAATCTGAAGTGATCAGATTACTCAGATCTTCATCAATATCTCCATCAGCATCTTCGTCTTTTGCAGTGTTGACTCCTGGAATGGTGGGTGGGTTGAAAAAGTTGAAGAATGAATCGTTCTGGATAGTCTTGGTGACTGTACGAACGGTGCCGCGGCTCTTATGTTTCTGTTTCTTCTTGATGGTTTTCAAGGTGACGTTCTTACCCTGCAATGTAATGTGAAAAAAATAACTCCTACATCCATCATATAGAGTACTTAAAAAGTCTAGATATGGGAGGGTTCTCTTAAAACCATGTCGGCTACTTTGTGTTTGACAGTATAAAGGTAAAGTCAATATACTAATTTGTGAAAAATAATCGCGTTCCCAAGCCCTCATAATTTGCATTCAATGTGCAAATGTCAAATTTGATGAATGACTGAAAAATGCTATGAATTTCTAAGAGCTAGAACTGCGTCCCATATCTACATATTTAATGGAATGAGAAAAATCCTGAATAGATGAACCAGTTTTAATATTTCTGTGATGTATAGTGCAATTGTGATTCTAACATGAATAAATGAACTGGTGGACAGTTGCTTTGCAACATGGAAAATTCTACCCAAATTCAAATCACGATATTTTCGGAACGGAAAGAGATATCGAATTGCGATATTCGGGAGGTTCCTAACCAACTCCTTGAGAACATATACAGTGTTCGACCGGTATATATATTTTATTTATCCACTTACACAGGGACCACAGAGTGAGCAAAGGAAGTCATGTTTTTTAGCAAAGTTTGGGGCTATGTCAGATTCTCAATTTTTTATCTTGGAAATTTTTCCATGCATGTTTTTGATGTTTGGACTATCCTAAAAAAGTGATATCTCAAATTTTTCGAAAGTTTACAACTCAAATTATCGAAGATTTGAGGTTTCAAAATGCGTTTATATTGAGCCTGTTCAAACATCTAGTAGGTGTGAAAGAGAAAACAGTATTTTTTTTCGTGGCACGTTCGGTTAAGTTACAGGCGTCAAACGCGTATTTGAATTTTCGTTTTATATAGTAAATATGTACTTTTTGATAAAAAAGAAGATAGGAATTAAAAAAAACAAGGTGCTAAACCGGAAGTAAACATTTCAAATCAAAATTTGGGCAACTTTACATTTCTTATTTTCGATTTGTTTACTCCACAATATAACCTACGATGTGTTTGAAATACGTCAGAAGTTTTGAAATGGCATATGTGCATTCATTAAGGAGGTATGTATTTTTATCTACATGTCACCCAGGATAGGATGTTAGGCACTTGTTTAGGTCAACTAATTATCATTTTCATTATATTTTAACATGAAATCATAGTTTATTTTTACAAGATTTTCCTAAATATTGAAATCTGAAAAACATAAGGTGCAAAACCAAAAGTAAACGCTTCAAGCCAGGGCTGAAAAAAACATGTTTTTTTTAAACAAAAATCATGTTTTTTTGTAGTTTAAAAGTGTTGTCACTATTTTTGATCCAGCTCTATCAGAGCACATCTCTCATTTAAAAGCGGACGTCGGGGAAGTACCGTTTGCCTTTGGGTAATTTTTCGCGTTGCGATTTCTAGCAGTCAAATGTGCGAAGTCGTAGCGTGGTGGTGTGTTTTGTTTTTTGTGCATTAAAGATCGGCAAAAAAAGAAAGGCAATGACAGGGAGGAGAAAGGACCCCGTGTGGAAATATTTTAAGGAGACTGATGCCAAAGCTGGCTCGAAAATAAATAAAAGAGCAAAATGTTTAACCTGCAATATGGATATAGTGCCACTGGTGGCTAGAATGCGCACCCTTTTAAAAAATTCTAAACAACTTAAACAAGGAAGTTTGTTAGAAAAACAAAATGTTCATATATCAGATAGTTATGATAGCGCCACTGATGATGTCTCTACCGAATCCTCAAAGTTGAGTAGCTTGGAGAATTGTGAAAAAGGTACATTTTTTTACTTGAAGTTTCATAAAAAGAAGTGAAAGCTAAACATTTATTCTATGGAGATTTTGCATGATTTTATACTTTAAAAATATGGATTTTTTTGTTAAATAAAATGGGTTGTATACTTTCATAGAAATTTGTTAAGTAACTTATTTAATTTAATTATACAATTAAATACATAGTCATATTACGTAGTCGTGCCATAAGTTCTGTCCCATGATAATCTCATGATAAAAATGAAACAAGATAAGATATATTTATATGAAAGATATTATTTATTCGACAACATTTTTAGAATTCATAATTAAACAGTTTTATTCAAAATGTCCCCCTTGGCCTTCACACACTGCTTCAATCTCGCGGGCCACTCATCTATCACTGCACGCACAGCTTCCAAAGGAATAGCTGCCGCTGATCGGATCAAATCCGCTTTCAGGGACTCGATATTACGGTGGGCTTTGGAGCAGGCCAACTGCTCTAGCAGGTCCCACAACTTGTAGTCTAAAGGATTGAGGTCCGGACTCCCTGAGGGCCAATCTTCCGCAGCAATGAACTCTGGCACATTGCTTTCCAGCCAGCGCTGCGTACTCTTAGCCTTGTGAGCGGGGGCGGAATCCTGCTGGTAGACCCAGTGTTGGTTGGCAAACAATGTACCACTTAAAGGCTTGACGATAGGATCCAGTATGTCGCTCTGATAGTTTGCCGCTTTTGTTTTCACGCCCTGTTTACAGAAATGGAGCTGAGTGACCCCTTCGTAGGACACCCCCCACCAAACCATGACTGACGCAGGGTGGTGGCCTCTCTCAACTCTCGGAATGATCTCCGAAGCTTCCTGTGAACTCCTTGCATACACTTTGTCATTTTGTCGGTTGAATTTTTCTTCTATGGTGAAGATTTTCTCATCCGTGAACAAAATCTTTCGGAATCCCCCAGCTGCGTACCTCTCCAAGAGCTTCTTGGATCTTGTCGCCCTGATGTGTCGCAAGGTGGCCGTAAGTCGCTGGCCCGTACGTCTCCGGTAAGCCCCTAGCCCTAGGTCTTGTTTAATGATGCGCGACATCGTCCGGACAGGAATCTTCATTTCCCTGGATAGGATCTTCTGCTTCCGGAGTGGATTCCTTTGAATCCTGGCTTTTACGGCTTTGATGGCTGCTGGAGTCCTTACTTGACGAGGTCTTCCGCTTCTTGGCCTGTCATCAACAGAGGACGTCTCATTGTACCGCTGAATGGTCCTAGACACAAATTTACGCGATATTTGAAGGCCGCGTAAGAGTTCAAAAATCTGACTAGCACTGTGATTACACTTATGTAAAGCTATCACTGCAATACGGTTCTCTGCCTTGCCCCACTCCATCGTTATGCTTCGAGAGATCAATACAAACTGAGGTATATGTAATTACCCGAAAAGCGCTTAATCAACTGACACCACAATGTAAACAATCGGACAAGTATTAACAGGTCTACACTTGTTTGAAAACGAGGGACAGAACTTATGGCATGACTACGTATATGCTGCTTGTAGTGTACTAGTATTAGAGTACAATGCAGTTTATTAAGTTCACTCGTTCGTTAAGAAACAGATTTTTTTCCACTAGTATTAGTTCCCTAGTTTCATGTTTGATAAATTAATAAAAAATAATGTATATTTTTTAGTACCTATGTTTAGTTTCGTTTTACAAAATAAAATCAATTTTAATCATACTTAAAAAAATATAAAAAAAACTTGAATCATTCACAAACGACCAAAAAACAAACAGTTTACAAAAAATTGGTTTAAAGCACCTTCATTGTTTTAAAGTGTTTAAAGCACTTGCTTTAACCATTTTGATTAAAACATAATAAACCATGTTCAAGCTATAATTTGGGGCAAATTTTATTCTAATTTTTTTACGCCAAAATTTTTACGAAATAATAATTGGATCTACTTTATGTAGATCTTTGAAGTACTACAGCAAGTGGCTATAACCAGCTGCATGGTTATGGTTAGATCTCGCCTTGAAAACTCGAGGCCTTCTGGCCATTATACTACAAAAGTGTAGATTGGCTGTTGGTGACTTCGTGTGTCATTTAGTTTCCTCTTCATCTTCGTTTCCTCAGGTTACATCCGTATCCGCATGTATAAGCATGTGTGTCTACTTTTGTAGTTGCATGTCACCTATCCTATTTTCTGCTCGAATTCACTTTTCTTCTTTTTGCGGATTTGCCCATTATTTTTTCTATTTATTATATCAAGTGTTTACTTCCAGTTTTGCACAATATTTTTCTTAATTTTTAATATGTATTAAATGATTGTATAAAAATAACATTTTATTGCAAAATACATTTAAAATGATTATTAGAGTTGAAAAATGCGCAGCATAGCCTATTAATGCAATATATCGCAAACCAGTCGACCTAAATAAGCATCTAATGTCAAACCCTGCTGACATGTACATAAAAATATGTACCTCCTTAATCAATGGGCATACCATTTTAAATCTTGGGACATATTTTAAATATAAAAAAAACTTGCAATGTTGCATGTTGCTATATCTTGGAGCAGAAAAATTAAAAACAAATAACTGTAAAGTTGCCCAAATTTTCGTTTGAAATGTTTACTTCCAGTTTATTACCTCAAGTTTTTTTAATTTCAATCTTCTTTTTTATCAAAAAGTACATACTATATAAAACGCAATTTCAAATACGCTTTTGATGCCTGTAACTTAACAAACGAACGTGCCACGAAAAAAAATAGTGTTTTCTCTTCACACCTACTAGATGTCTGAACAGGCCCAATATGAACGAACTTTGAAACCTCCATTTTTTTTCGCTATCTGCTTCACGTGAAATGCCCCATTTGTTTGTTTTTTTTTCTTTAATGTACAGAAAACTTGCTATATAAAACTTTGTTTCATATCTTGGTATAATATTTACAATTTGAAAAAGTTCTTAGAAAAAATCCCAATTTCTAATATGGCTTCTCTTTGAAGCCTTTCAGTGTCTGCTTGGCAGGACATGCCCCAATGTCAGATTCAGGATAATTTTCCAATAAAAAATCAGTCTAGTTTTATTCTCTCTATGACCTTCAAAGGTCAAAAGTCTAGTTTTTGCTATATCATTAACAATTAGATTGACTTTCAATCAGCCTTGAATGTTAAAGCAAAATATGAGGTGACAATCACGAGGGATGAATTCAACTACATTGTTTTTAATATTTTATCAATAAAATAAATAACTACTGTGTCCTTGTTTCTTTCAAATGTCACACAATATGACAGGCCCATATTTAGATGTGGAATTTTCTACCCTGTTCAACTCTACACATTTTCATTTAGAAAATAAAGTTAATCTAAATATTTATATACTTAAACAAAGCACAAGGTTGATAGGAAGAAATCATCATTAGTTTCCATTTTCAAGGGCTTTCCCCACAACCCATGAATTCAGACATCTTGCTGGATATGATTTTTTTAACACCTTATGTAACAATGTATGTCCTATAACATAACAGGTGGGCTGAAAATTCCGTATCGTTTCAATGAAAAAATATTTTTTTCGTCAAAATTCGCTTTTATTATTCAACATAGTTGCCTTCAAGGGCTATACAGCGATTATAACGTTCTTCAAGTTTTTCGATACCCTTCCGGTAGTAATCCTTCGGCTTGTCCTCAAAATAGGCTTCAGTTTCGGCGATGATTTCTTCGTTGCTGTGAAATTTTTTTCCGGTGAGCATTCTCTTAAGGTCTGAGAAGAGGAAATAGTCGCTTGGAGCAAGGTCCGGAGAATACGGTGGATGGGGGAGCAAATCGAAGCCCAATTCATGCAATTTCGACATCGTTTTCATGGACTTGTGGCACGGCGCATTGTCCTGGTGAAACAAGATTTTTTTTTTCTTCATTTGTGGCCGTTTCTTGGCGATTTCGGCCTTCAAACGCTCCAGTAACACTATATAATAGTCGCTGTTGATAGTTTGGCCCTTTTGAAGATAGTCGATGAAAATAATTCCTTGCACGTCCCAGAAAACAGAGGCCATAACCTTGCCTGCTGACTGTTGCGTCTTTCCACGTTTCGGAGGTGGTTCGGATGCAGCCGTCCACTCGGCCGACTGGCGATTTGACTCCGGTGTGTAGTGGTGGAGCCATGTTTCATCCATGGTGACGTATCGGCGAAAAAAATCGGTTTTATTGCGCAAAATCACCTCCAAACAGGCCTCAGAGTCGTCGATGCGTTGTTGCTTTTGGTCAAATGTGAGATTGCGCGGCACCCATTTCGCACAGAGCTTTCGCATATCCAAATATTCATGAATGATGTGACTGACACGTTCTTTTGATATGTTTAAGGCCTCAGCTATGTCAATCAACCGTATTTTGCGGTCTCCCAAAATTATTTTGTGGATTTTTTTCACGTTTTCGTCCGTAACGACCTCTTTTGGGCGTCCACTGCGTGCGTCGTCTTCAGTTGACATGTGACCGGTACGAAATTTAGCAAACCACTTGCGAATGGTTGCTTCGCCCGGGGCAGAGTCCGGATAACACTCATCAAGCCATTTCTTGCATTCGACGGCACTTTTTTTCATCAAAAAATAATGTTTCATTAACACACGAAACTCTTGACTTTCCATGGTTTTCAAAAATAACAAAAGTAGCGTCACTCTCGATACGATAACTCAAAAACTAATGATCCGACAGCTGTCAAATTTTGACAGGCATCTTTTGAAGGTTGGTACTAGCTAAGAAGCGTATGGATTTTATTCTGGTGGCGCCATCTCATAGAAACGATACGGACTTTTCAGCCCACCTGTTACCTTAGAGGTGGAATTTCCTACCCTGATCAGCTCTACACATTTTCATTTAGAAAATAAAGTTAATCTTAATATTTATATACTTAAACAAAGCATAAGGTTGATAGGAAGAAATCATCATCAGTTTCCATTTTCAAGGGCTTTCTCTACAACCCATGAATTCAGACATCTTGCTGGATATGATTTTTTAACACTTTATGTAACAATGCATGTCCTATAACATACCTTATTCCAGTTGATAGTGCAACCAGTACACTTGTAGATTTCAGGACCCTCAAAAGCAAATGGTTCATCCTCTTCAGGAGCACACTTCATTTCGTAATCTTTTGTGAGTACTGTGTTGGTAAAATACTCATTGGGAGAAAAGTGGAATTCTAAAGTGAAACCCTGTGGAAAAAAAAACAAAATCATAAGGTCTAACAAAACTGGAACATTCCCTTGTATAATTACTGTAGGTGCATTTTTATGTAGCAACAACTTAAATTATGAGTAATGTGCAAACAATGCATGTTGCTAGTATCAGTAATATCTGATCTTGACTTGCAGATACCTAACAGTTAGGACATAGATATTCTACAAGTTTAAAACATTTTTAAAAGCTATAACACTGCCATGAGGGTAGGTCAATGATCAACAATTTAACTTTCACATGCATATATGTCAACATTTCACTTGAACAAACGGAGAAATACCTAATAATAGTAATGTCGAGAGAATCTTGGGCTTTATTTCAGCAATCAGAAATTCAAAGTATTAACTAAAAATAATTGCTGCTAACTGCCTTGCTTTAAAAGAATTATATTACATTAATTATTCATTTGAAACCTTGTCTAAGGTACTAAAAGAAAAAATATGAATGGACAGAGGGGATACCTATGAAAAATCTAAACCTAAATATGGAATTGGAAGTGCATGTATCTAACACGTTAAACGCCATGGCGGCCCCATGGGACCGCTTGACAACGGGCCTATCACGCCACGGCGGTCCGTATGCACCGATTTGTATTTAATTTATTTTTACAGTGACTCCAGCCAGAGATCAATATTTAAATTCATTTTAGCGTTAGATATGGACCGCAGTGGCTTGTATGGATTATACGCATATGCCAACTTTTTGGTGTATTTTTGTTTTAAATAGTGATTCAATTTTTTTTATTCACATAATTTATTTCCTACTAAATCAACACAACACCGTTGACAAAAATAAACAAGATTCCAGTAAAAATGCATATATATATATTATATATATATAAAATATAATAGATTGGGATACAAAATATAATTTCACTTATTTATGACTTGTTCCGGAACAGTCATGGCAAAAGCGGGGATTTCCTTCACAACTGTCACAATATGTGGTAACTTTTGGAATTTAATTTTTTGCTATTTCACCCCTCATTTTTTTATTATAACATCCTTTACAATACTGTCTGACTTCATGTGATTTGCCTTCTTTTCTTTTCAGTCTCGTCTTGTGTCTTTTGACGTAGACGGTAGATTAGACACATTATTTGTTGGAAACATGACTTTGGTCTGATGGGCATTTTTCTAACATTTTGATTGGTGCTTAACATGCCAGTTCATATTTTTCTGTACAATTGTTTTAGTAGTTTACCAGTTTAATGCACTGCAACAAGTAGTCACTAAATAATGAATCCACTATAAACTTTGCGTGGCTGACGGTACGATCCGTGTCTTCTTTACCTGAATAAATTTTGAAACCAATCACATAAGCATCAATATTGCAAAGTTTGTAAAGTTTCACACCATATTTGTGGGATTTATTTTTTATATATTGGTTCATTATTAGGCGACCCCTCCATGGTATCATAGACTCATCTATAACTACTTTTTTTGAAACAATGTCTGTCAAGCTGTCAATCAAATGGCAAATTTTGAACAGTCTGTCTTCGTCAGTATCATCTATGTTATTCATGAAATGCCAGCATCTTAAAATAATAAAAAATCGGTCCCTTGTCATACAAGACGATATAAATTTATTCTGATATAAGGAATTTTTGGACCAATACAAATTCATTATTGGAGCGTTCACAATTCCCATGGCTATTACTATGGCAAAAAAGTTTTGCAATTCATTATGATCTACTGGTTTCCATAAATTTAGTCTTGATTTAGGTTTGTTTTCTTGTGACATCAAATTTTCAGCATATCTATTAGTCTCTTGAACCATTTTCTCGATCAACTCGTCATTAACAAACAACTTCAAAAAATCAATAGGGGAAGAAAGGTCAGGTGGTACATTAAAACTGATTTCATTATCATACAAAGTAGGAAACAATTCGCTAGAAGGCACTGTTATATTGACCCAAGTTATATCAGATGGGCCAGGAGCATCTTGTGAGGCATTATTTTGGCTTAACGGGAGCACATCTTGGGACACTTCGAACTCATTTTCATCACTGGATGAACTTGGTATGTAATCTTTGTCCATCAGCGAGTCATCTGAATCTTCATTAAATGAACACTCGGACTCCTACCCACTTTGCCTTGACATAGCTTGTGCAAGATCAACAAGTTTTTTCCACAAGACATTTTTGCGATTAGTACCACCCACGACGGCGTATGCTTGCCAACTGAATAAATTTACTGTAAGGTATTGTGCTCTAATTCGAGAAAAATCCTGCATAGACTTCTAGAAAATAATGATTAGATGCGGGTCGGGGTAAAATTGACCCATAAACGTGTGACCCTGTACCGCAAGCAAGTAAAAACTAATAGGTTGTATGTGATTCCGGGCCTATTTGGGTCGTACTGTTTTTTTGTCGAAGAAAAATAGTACTTAAATTGCAATTCTATAGCTATAACATTTTTTTTTATCTTAAAAAATAAAAATTTGACAAGCTTCGCAATATGGAATACCTTAGGCAAAATGCTCGCCGCACCAGGTGATAGTGCGATACGAGTCATATTGGCCCCGTAATGCAGTGAAGGTGTTAACTGAGAATTTTGCACCGTCCATGATGCTGCCTCACTTACTCACCACCTGTACCACCTAACCATTTATCTAGGTCGACCATCACGTTTAGGTGCCAGCATTGCCACCTCTGTTAAATCTTAAAATTTTGAGAGTACAAAATTTTAGGAAGTTACAGTGGCAGAATAGCGCTATGCTAAACTTAGCACATAGTAAAGATGATTAGTATTACTAGTTGCAAGGAGGTTAAAGGGTGATGTTTCCTTATAAGCTTGATGTCATATTTAGCAAATAAATAAATAAATATTTAAGAATAAACATTTTTTCTTAAAAAGAAAATGGAGTCTGTACATGCTACTTCTAAAGGAATTATTGCAATTGTGTAATCCTACTTAGTAACCTGGCAGTCATAATGAATGTTGTACATAAACATCCAAATACAACATAGGTTTGGGAATCTACTTAGGCCCATATCGTCAGTCGTCCCTACAATTGTAGGGCGCCTTTATGGCCTCCTTGACTGTTATAGTTTTCTACTTCTCCGTGTCAGCGCTCGATTTCGAGGTTATGTCACAAACATCTATTTGCATCAAATTGTGCTAGCTTTTGAGTTATATCATGTTTTATCAGCCTGAAATTTCCTACAATTTAAAAAGAAAACATAATTATCTTTACAATAGGAGAGTGCTGACGCTGACATGGGACAAGTGTAATCTAGAATTTTTGAAGGAGAGAAAGGAGTATGACAATCAAGGAGGCCATAAACGCGCCCTACAGTTGTAGGGACGACTGACGATACGAGCCTTAGAGAATATTTTAAGCAATAATAAGACTAGTGTAGAACTTACCATAGGATCCTCCCTGCAAGTAGTTTTGATATCAGTTAAATGCTTGAGGATGGGTACATCATGAGGCTGTACCATTTCACCCAGAATGGAAATATTCCTAATAGCCCGTAGCCAGAATTCTGGAACACCTTTCATATCTTCAGTACCGGTTGATTTTTTATCTCCATCCATTTCAAGTTTTATCTTCTCTTTGATGGCTTCAGGCAACTCATCTTCATCATCAGAAGGCCATTGAGCTTCCTCGTCAGTTGGTTCATAAATGCCATTGACAATGTTGTCTCGTTTTTCATACAGTGGAATATACTTCTTGAAATATTTACACTCGAGGGCATGAACTTCCTTGTAAAACTCAGCTTCAATCTTTGTGCATTCTAGCTGAATTCTTTTCAGGGCCTTGATCCGCCGCTTGACAGCTGGCGGTAGAAGGGCTAACCACTCAGCGTTTTGAGCGTTGAAGTCGTCATGATCGTCCCTAGTGTCTAAAATCCCACCGTTCTGCTTTTCTTCATCTTCACAAGACTCTACATCTTCGGGGCAATCGCCAGCATGGTCTTGCTCAGTAGTTGCCATTTTACTACAACTAATAAACGTGAATACTATCAATAATACTGGAGATTGAAAGATATTTGCGGATGTTTCTCAGTTAATTGGTATTATGGTAGCAAAAACTGCAAGTTGCAGTACCTAAAAGTGTCAAGAAGTTGAAAATTTGGAAACTACGTTTTACACGTGCACAACAAAAAACAACCTAAACGTCAAATTTACCAGTCCTTGTCAGCGCAAATTAAAGAAAACAAGATAACATATTTCACAATCTTCTCTTCCAAAATTTTGTGGAATTTTAGATCAAAATATAAATCATACTTACTTTTTACCGGGAAACTAAAATCTAAAATGGTGCTGGCCTGCAAACGCGGCAACACGATGAGGGCAGAACGATGAAAGAAGAAGACACAAAACATAAGCAGGAAGCAAGGAACAAACCACTGCTCAACTAATTTCACCTTGAACCTTCGTTGGATTCTGCGCAGATCAATCACTTTCCTGCAATGTTGCCGGCTTCTCATTGAAAGTTGAAAGAGCAGTCAAGTAGATCGACCGATGAGATCGACTATACCCTCTATACTTCAAAATCCCAAACATTTTCAAATTCAGAGAGAAGTGAAGGCCGATATCATTATTTTTGAATACCTGATATCGTTACTTTTTGTTATCAGTAATTCAAAGCTGACGTGATCACGACTTTCTAATAACGATGAGATTATACTGATTAACAGCACATTTATGATTTTCTTTGTTTAACTAGCGATGAGATAATACACTGAATATATGAATCTGTCTAGTTCTTGCAGGTCAAGCAAAACCTACGGAGGTGTTTGTATTTAGATTAATAATAAGTTTAGTTCTAAGCCTTATTTCCGTGACAAAGTTTTAAAAATTACAGGAAGTACTATTATTGGCCTTAGCAGAAGATGAAAGGCGAAAAAGGTAAGTATTTTGATGATAATCATTAGTTGATAATAATTTAATAATTGTGTGCGATAGCTGCACGTTGACACCACCGCGGTACGGCAGTTTTCTTATCTGCACGATATTCCCAAACGTTTTTTGATTTCTTAGACAATATGTCTTCTGATGAAGAAGAGCTATTATTGTTAGTATTGGCCTTAGCAAAAGATAAAAGGCGCAAAAGGTAAGTATTTTGATGATAATCATTGGTTGATAATAATTTAATAATTGTGTTTAAAGAAAAAAAGAAGAAATGGATACATGATATCAATAAACAAAGAAGGATTTAAGGAGAACATCATACTTCCCGAATTACGTAGAGATCTACAACGTTTTTACCTATACTTTCGAATGACTCCCGATTCTTTTGATGAAAGTGTAAGTTTAATGTCATCCCACACTTTGTCGTTTTTCCTGCAAGTTTTATAGTCTTCGTGACTTAAATCGTACAATATCGGGTACTTCTTATAGATCGACCAGCCAAAGATTGCTAGGGACGAAAGGGGGAAATGCGATGAAAAAACCTTACCATTAGACGATTTTATATGGAGTCATAGGCGGAGATCGGAGAGACTTGAATTATTAATTGAATTTATATTTTATTACAACTGGTAGTATTAATATTTTTTTGCGATTCATAATGACGTGATACCAAACATACATTATAAGAAATAAATATACACAAACACTGAATATTGAGAACAAAATAAATATATTTTTTAGGCAACAAGTAATATTCCTATGTACGCATTATGATTGAACAGCAAAACAAATTATGCATTCTTCTAAAATAGAATACAACAAGTCAAAAATATCTGACTGAATAGAAAAATATAGGAAAACAAAAAGTAATTTCTTGATGAAATAACCCATAAACAACACATAGAATTAGACTTTCTACTGAGATACTAAAAGCCACAAACCAATAGTATAATAAATGAATATCTAAAAATTCTAAAAGGTAGCCAATCTAGTATAGTTTCAATCCTGATTAGAGTCATGATCACTGTCTGAGGAACTGTCATTGCTATCACTTTCACCTCCTATGTTGATTATTATTTCTTCCTGTATTTCTTGAATGAGACTGTCTTTTTCCCAATATTCATCTTCAATTTTTATAACATGTCCAATAACCTTTTGCCAGTCACTGGCACTTACTGAAGCGATGGCCTTATTAGAAATTTCATCTAGTTTTTTTATAGTAAATTCGCCGCTTGTATTATGGCTTCTAATGAAAAATTTTACTTGTGCCCAAATCATCTCTATGGGATTAAACTGACACATATAGGGTGGCGTTCGAAGTGGGGTGTGTCCGAAACTTCTTATTAAATTATCTATCTTATAATTTTTCTCATCAGATGGTGGCCTATGTAGACAAGCTATTTCATAAAGCTCCATTTTTTTAGCATTAGGATCATGCTCTATACCTTTTTTGCTCAACCACGTGATGATGTCTCTTTTTAGAGAAGATCTAGTTGGAGGCTTGTCTTCCAAAGCTGAATGGTAAGGTGCATTATCCATTATTATAATACTATTAGGAGGAATGTTAGGAAATAGTTTTTCAGTAAGCCACTTCGTGAAATTTTCTTGGTTCATTTGACCGTGATAATCACCAGTGGCACAGCCAGCCTTGAAAATGAGACAGGCTCCAGGAACAAAACCATCTTGCGAACCCGCATGAACAATTATAAGTCGTCCTGGAAATGAATAAATAGCCTCATTTTAGTGTTATTTTAAGTTTGCCAACACCTTTTTGAATCACTATGTATAAAAAACATATTTTTGAGAAAAAAATACTTGCAAGGGATTATGTATTCAATTAGACAAATTAAATGAGCACTTATTAAGAATATTCCAAAATTGAGAAAAATGTATAATAAGCAAAATCGAGGTGAAAGAAACTTTATTACCTGTAGAACTTATATTGCTCAGGACACCCATAATTTCTTCGCTTTGCCAGCATTTCTTGAAAGTGAGGTCATTATCAACCCAAGTTTCGTCCAAATAAATAATATGCCTTCCTTCTTCCCGGAACTTTTTAATAGACCTAAGATACTTGTATCGCCAATGTAAAATACTGGGTCTTTCCATTAGTAATTTCCTTTTGTTGTGGCATTTACGCCAGTAAAATCCTTTTGCTTTTAAAAGCAGCCTCAACGATTCTTTACCAAATGGAAATTCCATTTCTTCCTTCAGTTTGATTAGAAGTTTACTACAAGTAGGTACCACTTTAAAATCACAGTAAAATTTTTCTATCATTCTCCGAATAATGGAAAAATCGACTCCATCAATTTTTTGGATCACAGAAGGGCGTGATCTCTTTTTTCCGGGAGAAGCTAAAGGCTGTGTGGAGGTTGCATTTTGCCTGTCTTTATCTTCTTTTCTAATTTTACTTATAGTTCGTTCACTAACACCCGTATAATATGCCGCCCTTGCATTTCTAGCTACCAGTGGATAAACGAAAGTATTGTTAGCCGCTTCTGCATCGCAAGCACGTATCACGTTTGCTATTATTTCCCTTGCCTGGCTGTGAATAACTTTCCCATGCTTGAATTCCATTATCACCACTAAACAGTAAATTATATTTTCAAAGTATTTGCCAACTGCCTACGCCTATGGGAGTAGGTTTATAAATGACCGTGCCATCGGCACGTTATTCTAGTTTCAGATAAGATAAGAGTTTTGGACCAATCAGCGACCGGATGTTTACCTGCGGCCTGGGTTTTCCAGCTACATTGCCAAATTCAGCGGAACAATTCTATATCTTAAATATGTTAATATGTATGGACCGCATTTTATGTAGAACATCTGACAACTTCGCAATTTTTTGTCCGCATTCTTTCGGCTTGCAATCTTTCGCTGGTCCAACAATAACTTGTTCAATTAATTTCTCCGTTGTGGACACCGTGAAAAACGTGGCGATATGCGATACGATCCGCGTCAGCAGCGTTTCCGGCGATAAACAGCGGGCCACCCCAGACCCCACCGCTCTGAAAACTGAACACCGCATGGACAGCCGTGCGATTATCGCTATCGCCTTACCGCGTCGGTGTGGGGGATCCCTTGCACTTTGAGGTTGCTGGTGTTACTTGTTTGGATGGCACGCAAAATCTAAGTACTCTAAGAGTTACGAAGTCGCATAAATGGGAGCAAAGTTGCGTATTTCGGTAATCAACAAAATGCCTCGTAGAAAATTCCGGAGAGAAATAGAAAAAAACGAATTTTTCCAAAATTGTTTAATTTTTTTGCTAACTTTATTTATAGTGGGATTTTAAAATAAATTCCACATCAACATTGCCACTTTTCTCCTCTACAAGATGGCATAATTAGAATTTCAATATGACGTTTCATTTCTTGAGTATATATTTTCTCTAAATGATGGTCTACATGTACAGCATGTTATGACACGTTCATAAGTTACAGGTTTTTAGAGAATCATCAATTCCCAAATGTCAGGCGTTATCGATTGTACTCATATTGCGATAGTGCCACCCAGAACAGATGACCCACTTAATCCATCAACAGCATATATGTTATATTAAAAGAAAAGGCTTCCACAGTGTAAACGTTCCGGCAGTTAATTAATTTTTTGTATAGCCTTGATTGAGAACATAAATTCGCAATATTTTACAGATTTTTGACTCTCAACTAATGATCACTGAAATTCGGACTCGAGTCAGTAACAATACAAAAGAATTATTTTTTATCATGGTTCCTTAATATCTTTTAACAACATTACATTTGTATATGATAAAGCAACTATCTAGAAAAAAAAAGAACAAAGTATAACCTTATTTGTACATGCAGCTAAAGACCACAGATGAAAGGGTTCGTTCTTTAAAATTTAAGAAAAAATTCAATATCTCAAAAACGGTGACACTTTTATATAGGTAAGGTTTTGTTATTTGTGAGGTCAGTCCAAAGCCTACCTTCTCCTTACGTTTATCGTGGTACTTATTGGACATCCTGTATGGATGATTTTATAAAGGCCTGTGTTTTTGATGCTTCTGCTTTAACAAATAAGTGACTACTTATTTGTGAAAATAGCAAAAATATAATAACAAAAATAACACCTGGCGTTATAAAATCTTTCATATTTATATGTCATTACAAATGTGCACTATAAAATTATACAACAGTTTCAAATTTATGCAAAGAGCCGGCAACGTCGCATGAGGCGTTAGGGCACAATGTGGCAGCCATGTGACATCCAGAAAAAATGGCGATTGACACTGACATAAGTTAACCGTGTTGCTCAATAATCAAATCCAAGCGAATAACCAAAATTTCTGTGTTATGTGCCGCGGTTATAATATGGTTCATGATGACACACGGGTTGATGACGTCAGTTACACGAATCGCTTGAACGCGTTGGTTTTAACCGCGGTTTTGTTGCAAGTTGTTTATTTTAGAAAAGCGCGTATATAATCTCTGATTATTTTTATTATCACTTAATAATCGGTGCTTTTTCGTCTACAACTGTATATGGAAAGTTTAAATAAGAAACCTTTCATAATATTCATGGGAGAAATGTTTTTTCAGTTTTTTTTTAATGATGGAACCATGGCTTTGTAGCTATGATAACTTTCAATTCTCTAAATTTTTCCGCATGTCAAAGAAAACATTTATTGATTCAGCAGAAATGATGAAAAAAGATATTAGCAAAACCGTATACAGGTGGATATCATCTAGTGAATTTATATGGCCATATTTTAATATTCTTGTGGTATATGGCTACACAGGATACTTTGTTAAGCATAGGAACTACATTTAAAGTGTCCTCAACAACCGTAATGAGTATAACTAATAAGGTGCTCCACTTTATGGTAAAACTGAAGTCAGCCTGTATCATTTTTCTCAAAAATGAAGCTGAAGTACAATAACAATATCCAATACCCGGCAAAATGGTAACTTGTCACATTTCAAATAATAACCAGAAATATAAAACTACTCTTGAGTTGGGTAAATACCACAATTTTGCGGTGATAACTATGACATATAACAGCTGATTCGTGACGTCACGGATCTTATAACCAAACTGATAACTACACTCGCTTGAACGGATTGGTAAATACCATCCCAAAATGGTAAATACCATTTCCATTTGGTTATCCGCTTGAATTTGATTAATGAATTGCACGTGACTAGGCCTTCTTCAGAATCACAAAACACATAAGACTGAAGAAGTAAGAGCTGCACGTTAAACGACGGCAACACCGTTGACGTTAATCAGATGGTTGCGCCGCCTACTTGCCTGGATGCCTGGAGATACTATCGAAGGAATGGAATGGAATAAGGAATGCGCCGGCGATTTCATTTTTTCATAATTTAAAATCTGCTGAAAATGATATTTCCGATACTGAAGGTGTATTTGATGAACATATATTCATAATATATACCCAATAAGGCTAATATCTCTTTCAGCAGTTTTGCTGAGAACAAGTTTCAGAATAATAAGATCCAGCACTAATTATGAAGCACAAAATATATGTAGTTTCAAAAAAATCATATGCTGTTGACAATGGTATAAACATTATATTACATAAAATATAGATTGATTTATTCCAAATTCATGTTATGTGTTGCAAAACACAGGTGTCTCACTTGAATTGCTTCTTGATAATTCCGAAACAACACGGAAAACACTAATATGACTCATAATTATCTGTAAATGAGCTGGTTAATTTGCTGGCCTAGATGGGTAGCATTTTGCTTTATAAAGCTCAGTGCTTCATTTTATGACTACTCTGCCGATATTACCATGTCTTACTTGATATAACGTGCCAAACTACAAGGATTATAAAGAGGCTGAATCCAGACATGCAATTTTAAATAATCTACTAACTACATACATCATGTCCTTATGTTGAATTCTCAGCCTACCTGTAGCTCTTCACAACTTATGACGGAGTCTCCTGAACTTCTGCATCTCCCACAATAGTCACGATACATCTCACGTATACCATGACAGCTATTGATAGTGTTGCTTTATGTTTTATACTCATTTTTAACGAAATATCTTCGAAAGCACCAGCGTTGAGAATCTGGATAATAACCGAACAAACGCCATATTCGCTATTTTTAAGTTTAGATCAAGATAGAGAATCCCAGCAAGCAGCACGTCACGTGATGCTGGTATTGAAGTTTCCTCGATTTTGCCTAGACAGGATAACCTTGGTGTTGCCAGTTCGCCCATAAGACGTTTTACCTTGCGTATCAGTTTTCCCGTTTATGTTTTGTGGATCCGAGGATGACCGTTTTCTGCGATCTGCATTCTTCCGGCTAAGATGCTTGTCGATGCTCGGCAAACCGGTATGGATTTAATAATTGCAGATCGTAGTGTACCTATACCTCATCCCATCCAAGGATCCAATGACCATGACTAGCAGACTGACAGTGTGATCTGGCCAGAGCCTGCGAAGCTCATATTTGGTCCGTTTTTTCTCCTCCTTTGAGACAATGTTCACTACGGCCGGAGCCGAAAATTCAATAACGAACATTGCCTGCTGGTCGTGGCCGAGAAGAACTATGTCGGGCTTATTCACCTGCACCAGATCGACAGTGAGGAACGAGTGAATCCGGCATTTCTCGTTCTCGTTATTATGATTATACGTTTTTCTACAGAAGCAGCCGCGTAGGTAGAAGCCTAAATTCCACGCAACGCGGCTGCTATAAATACTGAGCAAAATACCGCAATGAAATCGAATGGAGAAATTTACCAAAGTCTATAAGGCTCGATATTTGCATGTACGCCTTAGGAGTTACAGAGTAGTACACGACTTTTGACCTTAGCGGCCAGCGTGCGTGCGCATCTGACGTAAAGTCAACGCCAAACAAAGTGGCGTGCACGTCATCAAGGTGGGTGTGTTGAAAAATTTACATTGTTGCCAAACTTTTTGTAAAATAATAAAATTTATTATTTACATATCTAGGTTTATAAGCAATATTAACCTCAAATGAGAACAAAAATAATAGTATAATAAAATTATAGATCTGTACTTGCATAATCATTAAGTATGACAATTATTGATCAGATGACACTATGAAACTACCATATTTAATTGATAGCTTAAAGGTACTGAATAAAAATCCAAATGGGGTCCTCCAAATTTTATGCATGGTATTTATTTTACAGAATTCATACAGAAAAATGCATTCTAAAATTAGGTAAGCTACTGGTGTAAGCTTTTTCTGTACAATAAAGTTAGTCGGAGTTTCTTTCTTCAGCGCTGTCTGAATCTGAATCTTCATCACTCTCAAAGTTGATTATTAAAGGTTCGATGTCTGGTCGATCAAAAATTCGTTCTCTTTCATACCATTTAAAAATTTCTTGCTCAGTATGTTGAACACTATTTTTCCACATGTCTGGGGTAACCGTTTGTAGAGCCTCGTTCCACATATCCAAACAGTCTTTTTCACTGTTACCATCTCTACCAATATGTCTGTTATAGTAACCTTTTGCTATGCCCCAAATTAACTCAATAGGGTTAAATATACAATGGTAAGGAGGCAGACGAAGAACTTTGTGCCCATGTTGTTCCGCCAATTCATCAATCACGTATATTTTAGGTGGTTTGTTTCTAAAAAAGCAGTTATTTTAAGAATAGGAATAAACAAAAGAAATATAAACTGTCGACCAAAATATATATAATTAAGAAGCATTATGTACCGAGCAACAATACTCAATAGCTCTGTTTTAAACATTGTGTTTAAAAATGGTATGTTTTGATTTGTCAACCAGTCTTGGATATTTTTTTTTGTCCATGCATTGTTGGGCACTTTGTTCAATATCATGCTGTGATAAGGGGCGTTATCCAGTATAATCATAGATGGACTCTCCAATTTTTCTAATAACTGATGTTGAAACCATTTCAAAAAATTGTCCTGGTTCATCTCTCCATGGTAATCGCTCAATTTTGTTTTCGAAGAAAATATCGCTTCACTACCCTCAATAAACCCATTTTCATTTCCAGCATGTAATATAATGTATCTAAAATATATTAGTTTTAAATTTTATAGTGCAAATTGTGTAAAAGTACATACCTTTTACCATCTGTTTTAATAGCTTTCACGCTTTTTTGGTTTCCATTTTGCCAAGAGCGACCTATGGTCCCATTTTGAAATATCCAAGTTTCATCGAGGAAGACAAACTGGTATAAGGCCTCAAGCTTGGCTTGATTGTATTGCCTTAGAAATTCCACCCTTTTCAAAGCTATACTTGGTAGTTCCATGAGCCCTCGTCGCGGATTGTCCTTAAGCCACTTAAATCCAAGATCTGTAAGCAACCGCCTTAAAGACGTGGCACTACCATCAAATAATGCCCTATCTCTTAATCGAGACCATAAAGTTTGTCTCGTAACTTGTTCTTCTGAAACCATGTGTAATATAACATTATAATTTAGTTAACAAATTAATGCAAATTTCTGATAAGTTATTATAATAAGATCTTACTTTTGTGATACATATTATAGATCACTTCTCGAATGGCACTTGTATCCAATGTCGCTGTGTTGGTTACACGTTTAATATAACTCCGCTTTTTCTTGGGCGATTCTAAATTTGCATCACTTTTCACACCCTCGGAAATACGACTAACTGTCCTTAAACTAATTTTTAAAGCAGCAGCAACACGCTACAAAAAATGAAATAAAATTTCACTATTATTAATATACATTACATATAATTATTAGTAACCTACCTCTTGAACAGCATTTAAAGGCAACAAAGGCCCGTTGTTGTCCCTTTCTTGCTCAAAGTAGTGCATTAACGAGGCCACGAGTTCCTTACACCGACTATTTAACTGTTTGGGCATCTTTATATACCAAAATTGCCTTTATCTACTCGTAAAATGAATAATTTTGTTTTGAAACAAACAGTTGTTGATTTACAGTATGCGGGGCCAAAGGATTTATAAAGATTTGAAATGCCACAAATTGATTCAGTGTCAAAATTAATACAAATGTCAGTTCCCAGTTTAAATAAGTTTCAAGGTGACAATGTGTCAACGCTGCGAAATCGGTTTAGTGCGTTTACATGTCGATAAGTGATTGGAGCGTTTGCAAAACATTTTATTTCGCATAATGCGTCTAAATTTATCAGAAAGCAACTTATGTGATATTTTAATAACAATGTTTATATGACTATTAACCATAATAAGAGAGTAATGACCATTTTACAATTTATATATCACATTAATATGAAACTGCAATAGAGCAATTGTTTGTGATAGAAACCTATTCATTAGGTCGGGGAATTTTTATCGTGATGACGTGCACGCCACTTTGTTTGGCGTTGACTATACATTCAAATGCCTGCACTTCACTATCGGCGATGATCGTTGATCGTTCATAATAGGCAGAGATAAACCCTTCTAATAATAGGCACGATCATCGTGCAAGCATCCACACGAGCGTCCGTAGTAGTTTGTCAAACGACAAGCATCAATAATATGACCCGGCGATTGCCTTTGATGGATGTCCGAGAAACCGACAATTCACGGGTCGAAGGCGATCATAGACGATGATCGGAGAGTACAGTCGATGATCGGCTAGTTACAGTACAGCCGAGTATGCCATCTAAAGCCGGTTTTCCACCAAAGCAACTGGCTTTTGTTTCCAAAAAGAGCAACAAAAACTAGTTGCTGTCTTTGGAAACAAAAATTCAACTATGTGTCCACCAAAGCAACATCAATAGATATTTTTGTTTTCGGTTTGTTTTCATCTGTTTCTACTAAAGAGACAGGAAACAGTTTGAAAATGTCGACTAAGAGCGATGATTTATTTGTGATTGCATGTGGGTTTTTCGTTCTTCAATCAATTAAAGAAAAACAAAAAAAAAGAAAACCAAGGTATTGGGTAAGGCCATTTTTGAAGGAACGGAATAAGTATGGCATAAACGAAATGATTAATAAGTAATAAGTTTTTAGATGTCTTCGAAAACCTATGCTTTTAGAACCAGAGAAAGTTGAAAAAATTACAATGGCTTGCGTTACTTTGCACAATTTTTTAAGAAGTAATGCACAAGCAAAAGATCTCTATACTCCACCAGGATCATTTGATGCAGAAGATTTAGAACTTGGGACACTAACTGAAGGGGCCTGGAGAAAAGATTCGGAAGTGCTTCAATCATTTTTGCCTATAAAAAAAGTGGCAAGAAAATCCTCATATATAGCTAAAGAAATTCGAGACGAATTTAGTGAATACTTTGTGTCGGAAATTGGACAAGTACCTTGGCAATCAAAATATAATTAATTTAACTTTCACTTAAGGGCTTCTCTTTTCAATCATAAATTACAAAAGCCTTTTATGAATTTCCTTGTTTTAGTCGAATTTGAAATTTAATATTCTTGTGTTATGTACGAGAAAAAATTAAAATCTTTTTATTAGTTATGTATTAAAATACAGGTGTACTGTAGTTAGCTTTAGGAAGTAGTTTACATTTTCTTTAATAGTTGATATACTTATATAATAAATAATATCATTGTAAACAAAGTATATATTCCATAAAATATACCTCTGCACTATTTTTTAAATTTAAAAGATTTGTGATTAACTTACGTCATATTCAATCCCCGCTTGGTGGCCCTTTTTTGGCTTATTTCTGTCTTGCAAGAATGCCATTGCTGTATATCCAAACCATTTAGCTTTAAATTCATTTCCAGCACCCGACTTTTGGCACTTCTTATAATTTCTTCTTTCTCTTTGGTACTGTGTATTTATGTTTTTTAATTTTCGTTCAATTTCATCCTTGGTTGTTCCAAATATTTCCGCTATTTCCTTTAGTGAATCGTATTTTTTATATCTATCTATCAACATTTTTTGGATTCCATAAGTTAGGCCGTTCTCGATATACCTCTATTAAATTAGTCACTTCTTCTATTGTCCACGTTTTCTTGTTCATTGTAAATGCACGAAGAGTAAAATCGCGTGACTTATTAAAAAATTAAAACAACAAAAATACCGGAATACGAGTCTCTTGTATGTTTGCACTAAACCAACTGTGTTGCTAAAACCTGCAACCCAACAAGAAAACCTTTTGATCTTTCCGCTCCGAGACGGGACTTTCAACAATTCCCAGAAACAGTCGCCAGCAACACAATGTTGCCGGAATGTTTCCAAATTCGGCAACTCCAACTCGAGTTGCTGTTTTGTTGGTTTGGTGGAAAACCGGCTTAACGCTAACAACGCTGGGATCGCATGATTCCATTCGCCATTGCAGCACCTAGTTTCCAAAGTTGTGATCACGTCATGCTTTATTACTGTATTTTTGGTAACAGTCGTTATCAGTGTTGCCAGAGCCCACATTGAAAATTCCGCTACTGATATCGAAAAACTCCGCTACTTTCCGCTACCCCGGGGGATTATCGTCGAGGGAGGGGGGTTGCGCATCATTTATTATACAGGTTGTGCCAAAAAAAAACCAAACAGCGTGATAAAATATAAAATAAGAAACTATAATGAAAAAAACAGTTAACTATAAAAACCAATACAATATTACAAATAACTGTCAAACAACAGAACATTTATCACGCAGTCATATTAAAAAAAATATTACAGGAAACAAAAAAATAAAAAGCATATGACTAAAGGCCATTTCAGTTTTGCATAAAGAAAATTGAGGTTTTTGTTTTATTTAAACTTAGTCACTGTCTGTATCAGATTCTTCTTGTTGCATTTCTGTTCTCTCTATACTATATAAATTATTTTTGTATTTTTTTAAATGTTTTTCACCAAACTCGACGTCTAAGCTGCAACATTTTTATGTATTGTATCCAGTTTGATAAGGATCGCGCACAGAGTTGAAGGTAAAATACGATTCCTTTTCTTTGTTTTGATTATCTCCATATATGAGAATGTCCACTCGACATCTGCATTACCATGTGGCAAATGTTAAAATTATTAGACATACTTTGGAAATACACTTCACAGGTAGAGTTCTTACCACCGACTATATATCGTCGGTGGTTCTTACCACCTACTACCATGAATACGTGTCTCAGTTTAATAAGAATTACCGACCGGTGCTTACCACTGCCGATTGTAAAGATATCTGTATTTAGATTTAGTTACTAACTGCACTCAATTTTTTTTCTGGTAAAAATATCCATCATGTGTATCTAAATTGCCAAATTCCGCTACTTTTAACAAAAAATCCAATTCCGCCGCTACGCCGCTACCAGTAGCGGAATTCCGCTACTTCTGGCAACACCAGGCAACACTGATCGTTATTCGTGTTTTAATTATATCTGTTTGTGGTGACTCCATCTCTCGGGATCATTACGGAACAGCTCTCTTGTTCAGCGACGACACCTTCGGCATTGCTATTAGTAGTTCCGCCTCTCGGCGGTACCGGATACTACAATCCCCGTCAGCCAGTTCCGTGTTCATTCCCACGCAACGTCATCCTTAATTCAATTTGTATTTATGTACCTATGTAAGTTATTCCTACACCTCTTTTACGTGTGTTTTTAATTTGTTGATAATTTTTTTGCTGTGGACATGACTTTTAAGTGGATCATATATACACGGCACAAATGTTTCTCTGTACCTTTCATCGAGATTTAGGTTGATTAAAATTTTAATCGTTTTTCATCATTTTTGTTGTATTCTTCTATGATACCCCTTTAGTCGCATTGTATGAATTTTTGTTATAAGGCGTCAACAGGGTCGGCTTCACAGTTTGTGCGCCCTGAGACAAAGGATAGAATGTGCACCCTCCCCTCTCATTACATAATTGAGAATTTTGCGCCCCCCAAGACACAGCGCTCTGACTCACTTGCATACCGCCTGTTGACGGCCCTACGCGTCAAGTCAGTATAATTGAATCACTTTTGTTATTTGGTCACAAGCACCATGGAAAAAATTGTTTACTCTTTCATTGGTTAAATCCTACTCACTGGTTTACAGTCGTCGATTACTAGCATTTTCAAAGGCTTGGCAGCGTTGCTAACTCAATTCCCCGGGAAGTTCAAATAAATTGCAGCTTCCCACGCATAGATGGAAAAGAGTCAAAGAAAAGATCCCTGGATATTTACACGGATATTGACGTGTAGCTTCCTCGTTCAATGACGTATCTGATCACGTACAACCTGAAAACCTAACCTGTTTTGGTTTAAAATTTTTGTTATGGAGAAAAAGGAAATCTTTATAAAGCAATTTTGTGTGATGAAATGATATTTTTATCTTCTAAGGACGTTAGGAGAATATTGTTCGTTACAGCTGTGATTTACATATCTATTCAAGTATTTTTGTTGTAATTTTTGTATGTTCTAAAAATAACTCTATATTTGTAGGTTTATTTTCATTGTGAAATAATTCCGCAAATACAGAGTCCTGCAGCACATGTGCTACTCTGGTGGACACCATTTCTGCCAGATGATAACCATATAATTAAATGTGGGGAGGAAAATTACCAATGCATATTAACTAACAATCGAGACAATATTAAAAATGTAAATTTAGGTGTAAGTTAGAACTATTGTATGCAAATCACAATGATCATTCTTTGTTCTTAATTTTTTGATACCACAGTTCTTCCTCCTAGGCAGTTGGACAGATCACAAAATTATATGATATATAGCCATGCGAAATTTTGTTGCTGATATTAATCATAAATCTCTCAAACTATTTGGTAATATCACTTGTCTTTGAATATTAATAACCATATCATAAATATGTGAGACTTATGGTAGGTATTATTGGCCACCATTTATCACACAATCTATGTGGGTGAATTTGGTAAAGTTAAAAGCTTGTACCGATTCAGCATCAATATTTTATGTGTGCATATTTTGTGATTCCAATTTCATATATTGTTTCTGCCAGGCAACTTAGAAAAAAATAAGTTTAAGAGAGATCTAAAACACCTAGGCCACATTGTGCTTTTAATTTGGAGTCTCCTTTTAACTGTCTAGGTCATCCTTATAGGCCGAGGTCCTTTTGCTTTAGCCACCTATCTGTCCTGCCTCTGTAAGGACACTACAAAAAATCTGAATACATACTAAAATAGGATATGTATATGACACATATTTGTACCTCAGAGCCAGGCTAGGTTACATCCTTTTTTTGGCTAAAATGAGTTTTATGTATTAAGTTCAAAATCATATTGCACATCTCTATTTGCAACTTGCAGGGTCCACCTTTCTGTAATAATAAGGAAGTTATGACTACATAGATAATGTTAAGTCTCATACAACCTTGAAAAATATGTCAAATGCAATTATGTCAGCACTACTTAATCTAGCCTGGCTCTTAGGTACAGATATGTATAAGTTTTGCAATATGTTGGCATTTGGTAGCTTAAGTAGAAAAGGCAAGAAAACCCTCAATCTCTGAATACATGTTCACAGGTCCGTATCCGTTTTTTAGCACTAAACAGCTTTTAGAATTCTTTGCATGTTGTTTAATACAACTGTGTAACTGATCCATATTCCATGCATCATATCATTGACATTCTGAATGGGATTTCTTGAAGACTACAGACACATAGTGGACACATTACCATTACTTAAACAGTTATTTATGAACGGATGCATATGATGCAGAAGTATCGATGCATATCTTTCAGGGTACTCGAACGAATTCGGTCCTGTTCGCTGTAACTTGAAAACATCTTCATATCATACAACTAAATATACTCTGTGACAAAGAAAATGGAACACCCAGTAAAATGGTTTAATTTAGTTAAATATACTAGATAAAAGGAAGTTGTAATTAAGTTTTGAAGTGAACTGGAAACATTTCTCGGTTTCTATGTCTCGTCACTGAAAATAATTTTCTCGGGCTGCCAGAGGACGCCGCAGGAAAAACTGTAATGTAAGTTTTCAGTTACACTTCACCTGCACCATACTCATAACTGTAGGAGTTATGGTTGGGGCGCCATATCATCTGATGCTGTGACCCCTAGTTTCCATTAGAGGCGGCATGACGGCTCAGCGATACATTCAGGAACCTCATCTTTTGCCATTTCCTCAAATGCTGGTGAACAAGATAATCCATGTCCCCATATTGTCAGAGTTACAATGAATTGCCTCAGTAAAGCTCAAGTGAGCCACAAACACTCTTCAGAGCACAGACCAACTAATCGAGGATGAGTTATCCTAAAAAGAGATAAATCGTCTCCTCAGAAGTATGCCCGAAAGACTGGACGAATATATATGGTATCGGGATGACCCAACACATTAGGCAAATCCAATGATACAGCAAACGTTTCCACTTCAAAATTTGATGGTGACTTCCTCTTACTTATGTCTAATAATAATATATAAAATTTCATTCCAAATCATTTTAACGTGTGTTTAATTTTCTTAAACACAATACCTAATTACAGGCAATTCTGTTTTATGGGAGTCGAATAGAAAACTATGATTTTCCACTGCCAAGAAACTACAATATACCATGGGCTATATTTCATGAGGAGTCGCCGAAAAATTACGCACCATATCTGTATAGGAATATTCAAAGAGTATTCAATTTGAGTTCAACATTTAGTCGGAATTCCACTTTTCCAGTTCCACTGCAATATTTGAATCATATTCACTTACTAACAGGTATTTTTCCCCTAAAGACAGCATTTAAGTTCAATGGTCCGATCTCATTGGGGTGCCATGGCATTGTAGACCATCGTCGCCAAATATTGTATTGAACAGGCATATAGTAAGTAGTAAAGACCAGGGCTCTAAAAAATTTGGGGAATCCTATACGTGTAACTAGAGTAATGGAATGATTCTGTATTTTCCAGGTATTTTTGGAAAATGCCAATGTTAGGCCTATATCAACCTTGAACAAGCAGAATGATGGTGACCTTGGATGGGACCTTGAGCCACACATTCAACTTTATTTCAAGGTCAACTTTTGTTCTTTAAATGGAAAGCTCTCTTTTTGTTACCAGTAGTAAAAAGAACGGAAACCCCAACGTCCAAATATGTGATAGAAATTATAATACGATCACCTCCAAATATCAACTGAAGGCCAAATATGTGAGGCTAGCCAAAATTTAAATAAAAATCATACGATGAATCACATATCTAAAAAAGTGCAAACAGCCCTAGAGTACCAATTTTACATTTAAAAAAAAAACAGTATTTTGATGCATACTACGTTTAGACGTTTCATGTGCTATAACAGAGTTCCTTCATCTATGTACGAGACCAACTTGACTTTTTTGCCGTTTCAATTAAGGAAATACATCAACTTGCATGAAGATCAGTATAGCTTTAGAGGAGTCATCAAACCATCGACATATCAGGTAGCTCTCATTCGTTTCAGCAGGATAGTTTGACTACAGTTACTAGAGATTTCGCCATAGCGTCTCAATGAGGTGGAATGTTAGAAATATCTCTGATTCTTGGCATACTGATTGATTCTTTCTTGCCCATTAGAACTTCAATTTTAGATTTAAGATACTATGTACCTGTTGAATATAAACATAATGTAGCTGAAATCTCACCAGTACTCTATATTCAATCAGACTGTGACACACCAATCGACAGAGATAGAATAGTGACAGAACTGAGCAAATATGTCAGAATAGATAGTTATGGAGCATGTCTTAAAAATAAACCATTACCTCCAAGGTAATTAATGTATTGCTATATCTTTCACACAATTTTGAGAAAACGAATATTTTAAGATCACGCATAGAAAAGGCAGAAGTCATGAACGATGTTGAATGCTATATATCATGTAATTAAGACCATCGACACCACTCACAAATGCTGAGTTTTTTTGTCTCTTGGAGATAAATAAATATGCCTACAAGAATGCACTTGGAAAATTATAAGAATTGCTCCATAACTTCAGTAAAAAAAATCTTTCTTTTGCAGTCTGCGACACATCGACCCATTAGACTTGTATAACGATGAATACATGATATTTATTTCACAGTACAAATTCATAATTTCTATTGAAAATGCAGCTTGCTATGACTATGTAACAGAAAAGCTATGGAGACCACTGATAGTAGGCTCAATACCCATATATTATGGTGCACCAAATGTAAAGGTAGGTTGTGGGTACCAATTTGGGTTGCCAACATATCAACAGAAACAATAATATGCGATAATACGAAAAACAATGCCGCCCAGTAAATTGGTACGCATTAGTATGAATCTATTTTTGTAATACGCAAATGTACAATTTTTCAAAAGTACAAGAACATAAAAAATAAGTTCTGAAATGAGATTTGTCTTGTTTCAAGTTCTTCAAATTACTTAGGTGTTATAACTAGTGTAGATGTTAACAAGATTAATTCATTCAGTATGTAAAACTGAAAAAAACTTGTTTTCAGAATTGGCTTCCTAATGATCATTCTGCAATACTTTTGGATGATTTTGAAGGCATTGAAGAATTAGGGAAATATATAAATGATATTGATAACAACGATAAGCTGTATAATGAACTCGTACAACATAAAACGAATCAAAAGATGAATAACCATTTACTAAACCAGTTTATGATGGTCGAACATCCCGTCACGGATTTTCAGTGCTTTATTTGTAGTGCACTTCACAAAAATCAAGCTCTAGCCACTGCCAACGGAAATGTTTATAACTGCCCCGCAGAACTGAATATAGGAGGCACTTGGGACCAACACTGGGATATCGGTAAATGCCAAGCAAAAGCGCTAGAAGAATTTTTACGTGAAGATATACCATACGTTGCGGAAGATTTCGAAAAAAGGTGGACTCAGTATTTCCGCGAACAAGACTGTTAAATAAATAGGTATCTTTGTATTAGAGATTACAGTTAATATATTTTTAATACACCCTTATGTTGCCATCATTGTTATGACTAAACCCAGTGAACATAGTGACGTCACAACGTCTGGCTAGTTTGGCGTCATTATGTTCACTGGGAAAAGGATACAAAAACAGCACAATAACTTCTACTGTCTTTTTTAAATTATCTTGCACAATATATAAGATTCCCAACCGATTCTACATTGATAAACATTTTTTCTCTAGAGTTCTCCATTCAATTAAAGAAATTCATTACTTGTGGATTGTTAAATTTTCCTTGAATTTGTTATAATAGAAACAATTCGATCGGTTTATTATGATTGTGTATTTTTATAACCTAATACATTACACACGACTAGGCTCTTCTCTAATCGATAACCCACTCTTGATAACAAATCATTAAAATCATCTTTTGCTAACAGCACGACAGCAACGTTTCACTATTCTTTTTGCTAAAAAATGAAGGTTATTTAAGTAAGTTTAAAAATATTGTTCCTTGAATAAAAAAGCTGTTTTTCCTTGAATACAATGCTGTTTTTCCAGTTGATGAGAATATGTTAATCAGTGCCTAAATACAAATACCAAACTGGAAGCAGCGTGATGAATCCTGCGACGCTAATCCATACGCTGTCACTGTACGCATGCGCAGTGACATCCGCGCACAAGCACACACCGCGAAATCACCCTATCAGTGGCATAAGATAAGTTATGATGCTAGTTCAAAATTTAGTAGGTACTGCACTATAATCGGGTGCAAAAAATACTATAACGGGGACCTTGAGTGGTAATGAGACGCCTTTGCAGTGACGACGGTTAGGAAACCAGAATAACGAAACCATGTATGCAGCGAGGTCGTTCACGACGCCATCGCGAATATGCGACTCGTCTGGAGATGACTTGCCATCTAGATAACTTCCACGAAGCGCTGGAATTTATCAATTGAAGTTAAATATCCGAGCAGATTCCGGAAGTAGCGGGTCATAGCCAGACCGACAACGAGCGATGAATCGGTAACAGCGCGATAGTCCAGTCGACATAGTTATAAATTTGTAATAAATTAGTTACAAGTATTGCTACAAATTAGTGTAGCAGTGATAAATTAAGATTTTGGGCGGCAAAAATATTTTCGTTACAATCCAAAATACCGAAAAAGTAGGCTTTACATCGTGTAATGTGGCATGCAAAGTTAACATTTTCCTATGACCTATGACAGCTTTGCTACTCTAACACGGTAAAAAAGCAATAACCTTCGCTACTCTTTACGGTCGGATCGACGCACAGTGGGGCAGCATACCTTAAAAGTTGGTATTAATTCCCAATTGCCATGAATCGTATACTAAAATTGTTATAGTAACCTTTTAAACCAAATGAGAGCTCACGCAAGATTTAAGTTTATTCTAGACTTCTTTCTAAACCACACCCACGAAGAGTTTCAAATGACCTTCGACAAGATTAAAAAGATGAGACCTCTTTATACTTTATTAGTCTCTAGCTTTCGACAGACTATGCCATCATCATCACAATGGATTAAAAATATTTGCAATGGAAGATCTGATCAAAAGAAATGTTTTTTCCTTTAACATTTTTCTGGTAAAATTAAAGTAACAAAGTTATAGCCCTTTAGAAGTTTGAGTACCGCCCTGTCTCAATAATAATATTATGTGCTCGTGTTTGGCGACAACGGATATAATCCGCATCGGTTCATCGCATCGGAAACAAAAAAGCGAAAGAATTTGAAACGCTTATCACGATGTTTTTAGTTGGATTCAGTCGGTAACGCGTGAGTGAATAGTGGTGTTTGTTGCGTGGCTCAAACGAAATAAAAAATGGCACATGTTTACGAAAATGCTGAACTTGTGGACATGATTCTTATTTACGGGGGGGGGGGGTCTTTACAAAATCGGTTTCCCAATCGAGTGCAACCAACCCCTCGTGCCTTTGTTAATGTAGTACAAAGGGCTCGTGAATCAGGTGACTTAAGACCTCACATTGGATGCCGGTGCTCCAAGACCGCACGATCAAATACAGGTCCGCACTGAAATACTTGTCGGGAGGATACTTTATAAAACAAGGTAACATTTTTTTTAATTTTTTTTTTATTTTTACACATATTTTGGTTTATCTTCCTTCTACAATCACTATCTGAAAATTAATGACTCAACTTCAAAGTCACCCTGTATATATATATATATACAGGGTGACATTAATTTTCAGATAATGATTGTAGAAGGAATATAAACCAAAATATGTGTGTAAAAATAAAAAAAAAAATTAAAAAAAAATTTTTACCTTGTTTTATAAAGTATCCTCCCGACAAGTATTTCAGTGCGGACCTGTATTTGATCGTGAGGTCCCCTGTGAGGTCTTAAGTCACCTGATTCACGAGCCCGTTGTACTACATTAACAAAGGCACGAGGGGTTGGTTGCACTCGATTGGGAAACCGATCCGCATAAACATGTGCCATTTTTTATTTCGTTTGAGCCACGCAACAGATACAACTATTCACTGACACTTACTGTATACAAATGAATGAAATAATTCGTTCCAAATTCTTTCGCTTTTTTGTTTCCGATGCGATGAACCGATACGACGGATTATATCCGTTGTCGCCAAACACGAGCACATTGAGACAGGGCGGTACTCAAACTTCCAAAGGGCTATAACTTTGTTACTTTAATTTTACCAGAAAAATGGTAAAGGAAAAAACATTTCTTTTGATCAGATCTACTCACTGTTAAAATAAATGATTCAACTTCGAAGTCACCCTGTATATATATATATATTTATTGGGAATTGGCAAACTTTAAGCTTCGTAAACTCTTTTGACTGTAATCTCGAGCTTTCGGCAAACTTATAAATAATTTAATTGTATTTTTTGCCCGACTGGCAATGGCAACGACTGCTGCTCGTATATATATGTAACAATAAATAGGATATATATATATATATATATATTGAATAAGGTATGATATTTGCATTTATAATTATAATGATTACTAACAGCGGATAACCTATGAAAATGTTATAGTGTCAAACGATAAAACTTCATATATTCTCCAACTGTACTGCGAATTAATCATAATAAGCCAGGATTACTATCTTGAAGGCAGTTGCAGAGCTTATGAAGTTAGCCAGCTGCCACCGGACTGGTCTGCATTCCACTGGAACTAATCGCATCCGTGTGTGCTAAAGTTAGAGCTGGCAACACCGTCCGGGCACAAGAAAAGTGATAAACGGAGTCCAATGTACCAAAAATAGTATCATAATACACATTTGGATGCCAACTGAAGCACGTTATGTATCGGTAGCACTTTGACCTCGATGTGAATCAGTCTATACACCAAATATACTCAAGGAGTCCACTTAACAAGAACTCTCTTCGGATGCCACCTTGGACGCCAAATAAATTATATATATATCCCCTCATCCATGTGTGGACGGTATATTACTCATAAATAAATACATTTTGGGAAAATCTATTTATGGCATTTTATTCATGACATTTGAGGGCACATTTCTAAATTATTGGCAATTCTACAGGGTGTCCCAATTTTGACATACATATCAAAGTTGTGATTTTTAGAATGCCTCAAATTTTATTGCATATTTGGATAAACCAATTCAAAAGAAGATTGATATAACATACTATGGCGTTTTGGTAATTAGCTACTGAGGTGTAAGGTGTTTTGTCCAGAAAAACCGTCCTCTTCGGCAACCCCTCAATCGGCCATTTTGAAATGTGGAGTGCTGAATTTTGAACCAAAAAAAACTAACATATCTCCGCTTTTATCTTATTTGTTAGTTTTTCGAATTTTCATTTTTGCTCATGCAGGGTGGTCAAAAACGCGAATAGTACTTTTTCTCAAAAATTTCAAATGCATCACCCTATGTACTTGTGCAAGTTGGGATTCAATTTTTCATAAGCTCTTTTTTGGAACAAGTTTTGATCAAGATAAAATCACTAGATTTTGAGTTATTAAGCTTTCAATAGAACAACACACCAAAATTAAGGAAAAAATCACATCATCCATGGAAACAAAAGGCAAACAGTGGGCTAGTTCCATATTGCCACTAAGAGCTCAGATTTAACGTAAAAACTAATAACAATCAGAACAGTATAAATCAGCTTCAAGCGTAATAGAGAAAAACACCTATAACAACAACATAAACAAAAAACTATCACTACTCAAGACCTAATCTACAAAAACTGCTTGAAAATATCTCCACCATGTTGAATACACAGCCGTAGTCTTTGGATAAATGACCATTGCACATCCCTCAGCATGTGTTCCCTTATGTTCAGAAGAGCATCCTTAATCCTTTCTTTCATATTTTCCAGGGTAGATGGTGGATATCTATAAACCTCTTCCTTAACGTAGCCCCATAGAAAGAAGTCCAACGCTGTCATATCTGGTGATCTAGGAGGCCCATCACGACCGATCCAACGTTTGTTACTCCAGGTGTCCAAATAATTATGCACACAATTATGATAATGCGCAAGTGCCCCGTCATGCTGGAAGTATGTACATATGCATCCGAGTTTGCAGGTTGACATCCTCCAAAAGCAAAGGTAAATGCTCGATCAAAAAATTCAAGTATTCTGTATCTGTTAATCTGTTGTCGAAAAAGAAAGGCCCGATAACTTGTCTGTCAATAACTCCTCCCCAAACATTCAAGCTCCATTTATTTAGGAAATCTGTTTGCCTAAGCTGTTAATAGTTGCCTCAACGCTAAAAAGAGCCTTATCCAGGAAAGTAGTGTCTTCACTCAATTTATTTAGCATTATTCTACTAAACTCCATTCGAGCTGCGAAATCCCGAGGACGGAGGCCTTGATGCAAGCCTAGGTGATATGGATGGTACCTATGGTACCTTGGATTATTTATACATTTTTTACTATATTCCACTGCTCCACTTGATTCAAAACGTTCTCGTAGTGTGGAAAATGTTTCCGGCCTTGGATATCACATATTAGGGTAGCGTTGCTTATAAGTGCGAGATGCTAGGAACTTTCTTTGGGCTTCGCCCAAAACGAACACCATGTTCACCATCTTCTTTAGAAAAATTCATTTTCAAACACGTTTTTATTATAATGCTCACAAAGCTAATTTTGACAGTTTGTAACTAATCAACAATTTATTTGTTTCCAAGGATGATGCGATATTTTAGGGAATTAAGCCGTTCCACAAAAGACGTGCTAATAACAGAAGAAATAGCAGTAAAAACCCTTACGTGTCTAGTATCAAAAAAAGCTTATACAAAATTGAGTCCAAACTTGCACAAATATACAGGGTGATACATTTGAAATTTTTGAGAAAAACAATTTGCGTTTTTGGCCACTCTGTATAAGCAATATATATATATATAGAAAGTCTAATAATAATTTATTTGTGGAACAATACATATCAGAATAAATCATTATCAGAATATGACAATAATGATTTTTCGTTTTCATCGTCTTCTTCTTTCCTTTGGTACTCAGCAACTATCGGAACCTCTAACGAGCTCAGAGAGGATGTAGTGATTTCCCTTACCAGATTTGAAGCTTCTGTATTTCCTGATGCCCTTAAATTTGTTTGTGTGGCGAAACTTAGATCCGCAGTAGATGTAGATTTCCGTAGGTGTTTCTTGCGATTGGTTCGCTCGTGGCTATCTTCAAAAGGAACTGATGGACGTCCACTCTTTGTTAAGTTGGACGGCTCATAAAGGGTAAAAGAAATTAACATTTTAAGCCAGCTACCATATTTCTTGAGAAACCTTTTCCCAGATCTTCCTACATTCAATCATCTAGACTTAAATTCAGATTTGAAGTGGTATATTTTGCTTTTTAAACCTGCTAAATCTGATTCCGAACATGCTGTACGTTCTTGGCGATAATTTGTTAAGAAATTGAATTGTTCTTCGGTTTTATTCTTACTAGAACTTCTTAGAATATCGTACAGTTCTTTTCTTGATATTGCTACAGTGGTACGACTAGGTCCTAGAACCAAGAGAAAGCATAAGTTACTAAAGTTAATAAAAGTAAGAAAACACTATGTTATTAGGTAAGTATCAATAATCCTATTTCAGTCCGAAATTGCAAAATGAACTACATATTTAGTCATACAAACAAAGGTACTTGGTATGCCTCGATACACAAATAAACCTCTGCACGTTTCTGAGAAAAGCAATATTCTTATGAAAGATTACAATGATGACTTCTAAGCGTTATAATTCCTTCTCAATACTCAATTTAACTAAGTGATAATTATGAAAATACACTACATACCTGCAGCTGACATCTCCATCTGAAACATTTGAAATTTGAAAATGATTCACCAGTCACAATATTTTTAATATAAACAGAAACGAACGACTTAACGAATAGTACGCGTGCACTGTCTAAGATGCCTTTTTCAAGAGTGCGCTGAGATAGTAAGGGCACGTTATCAGTCAAGAGACTTTTGTGTTTGTTGTTGAAGTATGCGCTGGAATGTCGGTAATATAACTGTCAACAGAGCGAACGTGATTACAGCACTTTGCTTTTTCGAATTAATACCAACTTTTGAGGTATTATGCCCTACTGTGCGACGGCCGAACGTTTTTTGTTGCCACAAGTCTATATTATAGGAAGAGGTAACTTACAGCGGTTGTAGAAAATTTTATATAATTCCTGCGCAAAACTGTTGAAAGAAAATCAATTTAATTTTATCTATGCACAATACTTATTTATAAAGCATTTCCTAAAATCTAAGGAATGAAAAGTAATAATTTGACAAAATATTTTCAACAAAAGTTGAAAATGACCACTTGATCTTAGAGAAACTGAAAAAATCTTTTTTTATCTTTGTCACCCTGTATATTGGAAACCAGTTCTTTTAGGAGACATGTTTATATGAACTTAAGCATCACTTTTCGGTAATATACATCGAACACTCGTGAAATGGTACACTCGTAGTGTTCTTGTAATGAAATTAGTGCTAACTTCATAGGCTGTGTTTATTCATTTGTAATAGACATTCAAAATCAGCCACACATTCACAGAGCTACATTGAAAACATCTGGTGTTTTGGTATAATTCCATAACATCTAACATGTAAAATAACTGCTGCGTGAAATATGTTCAAAATCATACCTTCCAAGTAAAATTCATTATTGAAAAAAGAACTATGACGTAATTTTACTTTTTGACAGTGGAATGTCTACTTGAACGCATAATTAAGAAGTGAATTTTTTACAAAATAAAAACCAGTAGCTAGAAATAAAGTTTAGAAACTGGTTATGAAACGGGTATCAATACTGTAAATAATTATAGATCAAAGCAAAAACAAATGCAGCATATCACCACACATAGTAAACTGGATTTCATGATATCTTAGATTTGTCCTATAGCATTAAATATGTGACAATATCTACACCGGTACTAACTGGCACGCTAACAGATAATTCTAAGTAAGTACCTATTTGTTGCCAGGAAAGAGGTGTGGACTAAGAACTACTAGTTATAATATGTCAATACCCCTTAATACGTCTTGCATGGTGTTTCAACTGTTCATAAACGATGAGAGATTTTTTCTTCCTTATCAATCGATGACCAGAATTACAAAAATGAAATTCCATTGTCGCATGCGAGAATATGTCGCAAAACCCGAGAACACATCACCAGGAAAGGTGTACTGATATAATCAGTTATTCTAACAACTTCTTTATATTCTGTTACCTGTCATAAGTCTAGGCGGATTTTTAAGTACACGTTCCGTTTATGTGAGAAGGGAAGGCCGGGAACTGAATAACTTTCAACAAATATAAAATATAATTTATTTATATTGCTTTATGATTCACGCAACTGCCTTGACTATTAGCTACGTCATAACCCATAACATATTAATAAAAAAGAAAAATGGGGCATCAGTTGCAGTGCCAATTATAAAACACGTTAAAATGTAAATATCACATACATGTTCATTCTAGGGGAAAAAGTTTCCACATTAGTGTTCATTGTAACTGGGGTATATACACAAGTTACATAAGATGCCAGACACGTTAACAGCATGGAATAGCTATTCAGCTATTATTTAAAGTTTCACCTGACATCAAAACATAATCAATCATGTTGGTATGTGTCGTCACACGTTTAAGCATCATTCTGGCTCAAGGAGAGGCACAGTCTTGTCTCTGTCGCTACGTTTTTATTATAGTTGTTAGACTGCACTTCAAGTAAAATATTTAGCTTGTGGTAACTGTCAGTTGCAAAAAGGCAGTAATCAAAGTACCAAGCATGGTCAATTTCTGAATTACTGTGATTAAAATGAGTATTGCCAATAAAAATTTATAGTTACGATTCTACGGATATTTCATATACAAATGCTCTTAGTATTATTACAAAACTAAATTTGAACCTAATTGGCAATCAAGCAAGCAGGTGCATTTAAAAGGTAAAAAAAAAATTTAATTTTGATGTCAGGTACCCTGAAAGCGTGTTAAACACATTTCCACTACTTCGTTAACGCATTATAGTTTCTCTTACTTGAAACAAAATAAAAGTTATCAGTGTAATTGAAAAAATATGTGATGTTGGATACTATCACGTACGGCATTTACGCTACACCATTTAGGGCACTTTACAAAAATAATAATTGAGAAGTGTCAGCCATATTAGGACACGATGTTATTACTATTCATACTTCCATCAGCCAATACAACCTTGTCGTAAATGAAGAATTAAATTTTTGTCAATTTACTCTTATTCAGATTTCACCCAGTCTTTCTATACAAAATGGTGCTATAGGTATTTCAAGTGTTTTAAATATCACTATTTCGAACATCTCGCTATGTGTATCTTCAAAAATAGGGAAATACGTGTACCGAGCATCGCAATAATTGCATGACATATTTATATAGGTTGTCACTAACATTGCCAACTGTTTTCATGTTAGTTTCTTTATGGCTCTGTATATGGCCACACACTCGTATAGCGATATATATATACAGTCAATAACGGCAAAGTTACGATGGGCGAAAGCGTCAGCCGAAATGCCGGTAAAGTTTTTCTTCAATACATTATTACCATCAGTTATAGTTCGCTAGATTAGGTAATTCCTGTTTATTCTGATTCAATACTGTTTAATTCACAACCAAGCATGTTTATGCATGTAAAAACAACAGATCGTATTTTGTATCACAAAAACTATACACTGTGTCCCATTTAAATATCTCTGCCTAAATCTTTCGAAAACTGTTATTAAATAAAGGTTCTAGGGTTTCTATGGGGCAACATGACTGTTACCTTGACAACGGCCTTGGCTATACGACCTTTAAGGGCCTTTTAAGGTCACGTAAATACGTTAAATTGACCCCCTTTTTCACATCGTAATTGAAAACACTAGCAAATTTTATGTCCGAACATCATTTTGGCTATAACCTTGACCAAAACCGTCAAGGCCATTTCAAGGTTAAATCAAGGCATTGAAAACAAAATGTCTAGCAAAAATGTTCGACAGTACATTTGTGAACTTTGTGGGACTCACCCAAAGGTGACCTTGACCATAACATACAAGGCACAGTAAAAAATTCCAAAGGGAAAAACACGACATTTTACGTGCGAGTGTAACTTTGACGTCAGTATCAAGGTCGTGTCAAGCTTAAATGTTATTTGAGGAGAAGTTCACAATCTGACATAAAATTTCCTGCTTTTTTCCTTTGGAAAGTTTAACTTGACCCTGAAGTTCATGGTCAAGGTCAGCTTTTTGTGATCCCCCTAAAGCTTACAGCTGCGCCGTCGAACATTTTTACTAGAACAAACTGTTTTTAATGTATTGATTTGACCTTGAGATGGCCTTGAAGGCAAATGTTAAAATGATATTCGGAAATAGGATTTCCGCTTCTTTTCAATACTGATGTCAAAAAGGAGGCGTTCCATTTAAAAATAACTGCTTGACTTGGAATGACCTTAAAAGACGTAGTCAAGATCATAGTCCATGCCACAATTATATTTTTCCCTTGAAACCCTATTTTGTTTGAAACTTTATTTTCCTAGAAATATTTAGGTGGGGAGATTAAAATGGAACGTGCATAAATTAATAGAATGAACAGAGTTTTTAAAATTTTGTAACATTACTAACATTTTCTCCAAATTTGACCCGCTTAATGGCATATCTAGGCAAAATTATACTACTCACATCAGGTTGTTGCCACGCATTTGCACATCGCCTACATTGGTAAAATTTATTTTTGCATTCGAGTTGTTAAGTACGGTCAATTAAGCACGTTTACCTATACCTAAATTCGAATAAAATAACGAATGATTTAAGCTTACAAAAATTATCCACAGATCAGTCGGAAGTAGGAAGTTGGAATTCAAGGTAATACAGCCAATGAGTGCATTTTCATATAACTTAACAACATACACAACTTTTTTAAACTGAAATGATCTGTTGGTAGTACTACGACGGTAAAATAAAAAAACAGGAGAGGATTAAAACACTCCCTGACAAAACAGTAAATACATTATGGAAGACAATACAAATTATTGTGCTTCGTCAACTTTCCTTTAACAATGACGTATATGTAAAAAAACAGACAGAATTATAACTGAAAATATTGCTGCAATATATGTCACAGCAAAACAAAAGCCAATAACCTATTTTAGATCCACCATAGGTTCAAGTAGAATCTTCAATTAGTTTCACCTTTATATCTTGTTAACAACACGTATTCCAGAGAGCATTAGTTAAAAGAACTCGTACTGGAGTAATGATCAGGCAATGTAAAATTATCCTATTATCTCTTTACAGTTTTGTCTGTGACATATCTGAGATGAAAAAATTCAAGAAATCAAGTTAAGGCGCTTTTTTGTATATTCAATAAGAAGCATTGGTGGATTTCATCCTTACTGATGTACGACAGTTTCAAATAGCCAACAATCCAAGTACCAGAATGTTGTGAAAGCCAATTTTATATACTACAACTCATTGAAGATATGAGCATAAGTTGTAACTAAAAGCCGTTGCTGCCCAATAACCTAAACATTCTATTAATCAGTAGAGCAGCAGAGATACAGAACTCTCCAACACGATACGAATAAAAAAAATCATTTAAGTGAAAGTTCTGTAGCTCCTTTGAATGTGAGCTTTTTCTTTTCAACAAATATAGAAATTATTTATATTAGGTTAAAGTTCACAAAATCTTTTCTATGGACATAATTCTTAGGGTGTGAGAGGTACGTACGAGATATAACTAATCATATCAAGAATTATAAGGAACAAAGCATTTTATTAACTTCATTTCAAATCGATGACTATCTAAGAAATAGCGCATTGACTACTATGCTACTATTTTACCGCTACTAGATGAAGTCAATCATGTTTGCTAATCCCTGTTTGAATTCTACCGACGCTTCGTCGATAAATATACAAAAGCGGCTTCTATGGTGAAAAAATAAATCAAACCACCTACTCGTTCAATAATTATCAATCACCTTTGTTTTTCCCTTTCTTATTAAACGAGAACAATTTGCTGCGTTTCTTCTTTTTCGAATCACTCTCATCGAGAACGGAGGAGTCAGTAGAGCATACGTCATCTTCAATGGATACACTGGGCTGCTCCTTGATCTGCTTCAGAGGCTTTATTTTCGATACCTCTAAATTTGTGTCCGACAAGGAACTTTTCGGCTTGGTGTCTGCAGGCGAAACATTGATGTCTTGGGAAAACGACCTTGTCATCGAGGTGGGCTTCGCTGGGAGATTTAGGGAGATGTTTGACTGGCTTACGCTTTTGGGGTTCGACGATAATCGTCCCACGACATTCTTCGGCTGTGTCTGCGTTGTTGATGACAGGGTGTCCTCTGACCATGGTGATCTAAGCATTATTTGTTCAATCAAGATATTTCTAAGTTAATAAATACTCTTCATACCATAAGATGAAGTGAATATAAAAATAATGGATAACATATACCATGAAAAACTAGTAAGGTTCTTGACAGACACTTCAGTTTCTACCGAAGCATTTACATCGGCGGTTTCCAACTCGATGCGTTATTTAGGCCCACATTTGTAGAGTTTTTTTTATGATTTTTGGCGGGACGGATTAAAACTACCGATATCACACTCATACGAGGAGGTACCCAAAAATAACCGGAATAGCATTGCGGTGGGCGGAGCTTGTGTAGTACACATTTCTGCCCCAAGAGGCGTACAGCGCTACTCATTACGCTTTACGTTTTTTACGATGGCAAGCTTTAGTGAGCAACGTGCAACTGTGAAATTTTGCTTTCTAATTGGTAAAAATGCTGCTGAAACTGTTTTAATGTTGAAAATAGCTTACAAAGATGATGCTATGAGAAAAACTCAGGTGTACGAGTGGTTTGCTCGATTTAAAAATGGCGGCATGTCGATTGATGACAAACTTCGCTCTGGACGTCCATCAACTGCCCGAATCGAATAAAATTGCTCTTGTTATCACAAAAGCGGCCGATCAGCATGCTGCCTTTCTACAATGTCTACGGGGGTATCGGTCTTGGCTCCGACACTGTTTCTCTTATATGTCAACGACCTCCTTTTCTGTACGATCAACCTACTCCACAGCTTTGCTGATGACAGCACTCTACATGCAGGAATTCAGAAATTCAGAGCGTCAAGCCGATCTCAGCCGGTGAACTGGAAAAAGAAGACTAGCAGCAACATTAATGCTTTTTTTTGATTTAATGCTCCCAAAGCACAGTACTTGACGAACAAAAGGGGTCCTGCGCTCAACCGGTTTCGATGGATGGCCGAGTTCTGCCAAAGAGCCGTTCATTTCGGCAGGCCGGAGTCCAGATCACCAATGAGTTGATCTGGCACGAACACATCTCGTCAACAGCGGCAGCTGCTGGGAAAGAAGCTAGGCTATTTGTTTAGGGCTAAGAAGTACATCTCGCCGCAAGACCTCTTCACTCTATACAATGCCCTGATAAGGCCTAGCCTCGAGTATTGCTCATACGTTTGGGGTGTTGCCGTCCCGACTACATTATGTATGCTCGATGCTGTCCGGAAGAGGACTGTCCGACTGATCGATGACTCTAACATACAGCTTAGGGACCGCCTGTCTTCGGTCTCCCATCCTAACTGTGTCGAACTTCGTACATCCAGAACTGACCGACACGATCGCCTCTTTGTCCCGAGGATGTCGAGATTGTGGAACAATCTACAAGAGAAAGATTTTCTCAGTTCAACTAACCTTAGGCAGTTCAAAAATCGGATGAACAAAATTTCTTTTGGATCCTGATAGCAGCCGCGGTGCCCTGGCATTTAGACTACCCAATTCATGTGTACAAGAGCAGCTGAATTGAAAATTGGTTTGCGCAGTGAGCAATTTCTCCTACACACGTGGCATAGTAGATCTGATCTGGAGAACTGAATGTCGATTAAGGGATTTGTCACACCTTGGATTTTAAACGAATAAGGTCCTTTCATAAGGTTCACCTTTTGGCTTTCACAGTAGGCGGTGTCCACCACTTGTCACCAGCGATTTTCGAACCTTCCAAAATTTTCGGATGTTTAAAAATTTTGAACATCCTGAAAATGTTGAAAGATGAAGTTTGGAAATTTAGGAATTTATTTTTTTTCTAAAATTATGAAAACCTGTGGTAACTGGTACAGCCTACTATGAAATGCAAATTTTAAATCTCCTTTTGAAGGTCACTCAGGGAAGCATTCTTGTTTGTTTAAAATATCGTATTAGCGGTATTTTTTCGGGCTGATAAAACTGATGAAATGATCCATTATGAAAATCCGATTCTTCCTATTTCAATTGGAGGAATGCCATTTTTAGCTGGACCAATTAATTAACAACAGATTTTAACATAAATATGAGGTGTTGGAATCGTTTTAGCAGTTTGAGTGACTTTGGGTACATTTTAAAAATTATATAAAAACAAAATGGCAGATTTTAGTTGAAATTCGTATATCACGGGCTTCAGGTTAAGCGCCTTGATTGATTTTAACATATGAGGTGTTGCTGGTTGATAATAAAAATAATTCGACCTCGTATTATTTAGAAATGTACTTGTTGATTGGTCTTTCTAGCTTAAAATTACATACTTTTTTGAGGGAAGTTGCAAGTCAGCTGTTTATGTTTCACAATAATGATTTATTACCTGAGATACCGATGCAGATACCGAGAGGAGGTTTTTAGTCTAATTTCATAGTAGTAGTATGTAGTGACTTTATCATGTATTTCAAGAATCTTCTCAGATAACAACTCGCGAATATCAACTTAAAAGTCGCCAGTTAGAGCGAGAATGAAAATGACAATGCAAAATCATCTAAAATTTGTCACAGTTAATCGGACATACTGATTTATTGATTTTAATATCGTTCAAGTTAGGGTTACTAAAATTTGTGATTTTTTTCTTTGAGAAAAATAGTCGAATCATATAAAATAATGATACAAAATTATAGTTCTAGAAGACACTCGTTCATAATAAGTTTGGCCCCTCTATACTTTATTTACGCTCATAAACCGTTTTATCAAAGTTCGTTGGCAGACAAACACGTTAAACAGGGTTGCCGATCTGTAGCCCGCCGCAAATATGTTGACTTTCAGTAAACCATGGAGATGGTTCAAAGTTCGAGCTAAAGACAAGCGTACCTAAAGAAGAGTATTTCAAGTATCCTGTACCTTACCAAAACCTTTTAGTGATAATCTGGCCAAGTTAATGCCCGCAACAATTATACATCACCAAGGTCAATACGTATGCTGTGGTTGTGTTGTCAGCAAAATTATGCCAAAATACCTTCCTTTGAACTAGCGATAGGCAACCCGTAGTTTTATGCATTATTCTATAAACGACCTTCATTACAAACTTCACTTTAGCTATGGGGTTGTGAGGGTAAGGGCAACTTGGCAAAAATACGTGATGTTATGTAAAATGACAAAATAGCAGTGCCAACTGAAGTTTCCAGATCTACACTTTTCACGATACCGTCCACGTTTTGACGTCTGCTGAGGTAAACCGCTGATCATTAAGAGACATCTTTGTGTTAAGTTTGTATTGTTGGCAATTAATCTGACTAGTTTCAGGTCGTATTCGGAACTATTTGCACCAAACACCAATGAACATTCATTTTTACATACATACTTTCCCTGACGGGATTATGGCAATAAAATATATAAAGTAAACTAATGGAAATGCAATAAATCGCATTAAAAGTGTTTTCAAAAAGTAAGTAGATACCAAAAATACGACCACAGAAAAACCTTCTTCTCTGAATATGACTCTGTCTACAGATCGGTCAAAGTTGTGTCAATTGATATTTTAAATCTCACTAGTTAATCAGATGTTATGTATAGTCACCTTTAACCGTGACGAAATATCGTGAAAAATAGTAGACCAGCACGTGTCAGATGTCATCATTTATAGATTATGACTGTTAACACTGTCACTGAAGTAGATGACAGTCGTATTATCCTTCCACTTTGCCAGGTTGATAGCAGTTTTCAAAAAATTCTAGTCGAATTTCATATAGAATTATACAGCCCTAAATAAAATGATATGGGATCTGAGCCTAAATGTATGCAGATAAATATGCATTCGTATGTGACCACAACTACACTAACGAACTCCAAAACTGTCAACATTAGGCTAGATACAACTAAAACAAAAACTACTTACACATCACTGCCTACGGAGAAATGGACATTATTCTTGCTGGAAACTTTAGGTTCGCTACCACCTTCCTCCTCTTGCTTACTGGTTTCACTACTGGACGAATCACCGTCTTTCCAGTGGGACGCCATCTGACAAGACTCGATGTACCCTGCACACATACACAGCACCATCTTACACCATTGTTAGTAAACAGACATGCATTAAATCTAAGCCATCGTTATCAAAATAATGGGAATCTGGATTTATTAATTTTTATTTGCTATGGTTAGTTAAACAGGCGGGTATTAGATTTTGTTTGTTTTATAACGCATCGTGAACGAGTAGTTCCACATTCAGTTAATTAATTTTCGAATGAACTGGTGTATCGGGTGTCTCAGACTGTCTTTATAATTTATGTTCCGATAATTATACATGTGTGATAATTGGAAAAGTTATTTTCAATATTTGGGTATGCATCTCCTTATTAACCTTTGTCACGAACATCTCAGATTTATGATGCGGCAGATGTCCTAAAAGGCACATTCTTCTAAAACTACCAACAGAAATAAATTAGAGTAAAAATTACAATATATTACTTTAAATACCAATAATTTACACAAAAGCTCTAAACTATTGGCCATCCTGTCAAATTATGGCCTCATTCTCCTACTAATGGAGCAGCAGAAGTCCATTATATCTGAGTTTGTGCATTTGGAAAACATGACATGTATAAGTAGTAATGTTACTAAATTCTATAGGCTCTGTACCATGACAGCATGGAGCACTAGTATCGCACTTCGATATGGAGAAAAACGCAACTACTAAAGTAAGTGAGGTTATAAGATCTACACCACTTCTTTCCTCATTTTTTTTTCTCCTCCTTCCAATGACGTATTAATTTTTTTTCATTCCAATAGTAGTTTCACCCTACAGGCGCTGTGCCGTCGATGTGTGTTTTGACGGAGTCGGAGAACGCTGCGAAAGTCAATTTCTCAGCGCGGCCTACACGCGGTGTGAAAAAAAGTGTCGCGTGCATCTGCTAAAAATACACGTATTTTCGAAATGAGAGTCTTTAAACACCCAAGGATCCACTGGTTTTAGATGTTTCAGGTTTTTCTGAACTTTACACTATTATTCAACTAATTTTGAAAGGATAATAAGGAATCTAGCAGATATGGATACACTAAAAACGTGTAGGTAAAATAGCCTTCATTAAAATGGCATCTTTATTTTAGTATCTTATTTTATTTTTTTCAGTTTTTAGTTAGAGTAAGAAATACACTGACACTACAACCCAGATTAAATATTCGCCACACACATCTGTTTGAAAAATCGTTTAAATCTGAAGCTTTCATCTCAACTTAAGCCGTATTTTCACTCTCCATAAAAAATGGGGCGAAAGAAAAGAATAACTCAAACTGAATCACCCTGTATAGCGAATAAATATTAGCGGCAACGTGCTATGAATAAGCGTCGCAACCCAAATACGGTCTAATTAATTGATGTACAATAAACATTATTTCTCCACTGAACGAACATATTTACGTTTATGATCCGATATTCATTATCTGTCACAAATGTTTATAAGCACAGTAACGCTTATAGAACGATAGATTCTATGTTATTCGTGCAAATATGCAACATTTACGAAGCATGCATGTATTGTGCCCAGAAAGAGTTGGTTAAAATTAGTACAGGAAGTGAAAATGTAATATTATTAGGTATATGATACTCATTTATCACACATTTGGATTGTCCGTCTGATTTTGAGTAAAAATAGCATTTTGGCATCGAATAATACTGAGACAATTGTATTAAAGACAACTTGGTATGCAAGAGCGTTCATGAATGAACGATTGCCTGCTTTAATAAGAGATCTATTCCTACTTAATTATAAGGATTACAGTGGGTTCACTAAGGTACAGCTGTCTAAATAATCTATGAATGTTCTGTAAAAAGCACTGCATCTCTTGTGCCACAATAAAATCTGGCAATGAAATGCTTCAACCAAAATAAATGGATCGCCACAATGCATTCAAAGGGATCACAGCCGCGTAAGACCTTTGAGCACCAGTCTGCTTCTTTGTGATGGTTTTTTACGACTGCTGCAGTAAAATACGTTATGATTTTGTATTTAGATTTAGGTGTGAGGGACTTTTTTGTCTGTCACTTGTCAAATTGCTTTTTGTCCTTTTGCATAGCCATTTTTGATGTAATGGTAACTGGGACTAAGGGTAAAAAATAACATCTTTAATGTTCCTGTGTATATTTCAGAAAATAATATCTACATAATATACTAAGCTGTACAAGCGAGTACTTTGATATTATTCATGCAAGACAAAATGATACGTATGGATATCTAAAACTAAACAACTGCTTAATATTAAGTACTCTATATATGTAACACCCTCAACCTTCTACTACCCAATTAATTTATTGTCTTCATATAAACGAGTATACACTAGGGAAATTCAATTCCATATAACGGATAATAAAAGGTATATTTTTTGAGATTTGATTTTTGGGTATTTAATTCATGAAAATGACAGAGAGCAGTAAAGAGACATAAGAAACGTATATAATAGGAAGAGATTCTATCGAAGATAGCACCATATGATTCAGATTGTTTTGTTAATATCTTTTCTATACATAATTACAATTTTTAACCAGATATATTGTCACTCATAGGTTAAATTGGAAACAGGTATTCACTAAAACGATGAAGTGTTGTAACTTCCATAATATTCCAGAAAAAGCGTACAAATCTTATACGTTAATATATTTTCCTATCGAGCAAATTGTTATGAATTCTCCCGTGTTAGGGTATTCCTAAGTAGTTTCATCTAAAGATAAATAATCAAGGTACCGTTATGCCATAATAATCTTATAGAGAAATTCATAAGACGTTTTACTTCAATGAATATGTACTTTTTCTGGAAAATAATAAAAAATTCATAAAAGTTTTCTAGTGAATCAGTACCGGCAAACATTTTACTGAATATGTATACTGGTAACAGAGGGTATTCCGGAGGTCACTTCAAACATTCTAAGAGATAATGGTAAACCTGTACTAATGTATTGTACCTACTATAGAAATATAAAAGTGAGCATTTAGGAAGGGCATAAGAATACATCATAAATAATGATCCACATAATAGAATTGGACAAATGAGTGATTCCGTTACTTCCAAGTGCTTTATAATAAGAAATGGTACGGCGACTAGTGCTTTATTTTCCACAACGTAAAGATACATAGTATATCGGGGATCTGTAATTCTGGGGTATGTCGCATGTTCTGAAATTTCTTGAAAATGATAATTGTATATCTGTATATTAAATCTTAGGTCCCTTCAATATTTTGAATCTGCGCAGTTGCTATATCTATCCATGGAATCTTCCGATAAGCAGAAAGGTACTGGGGAATGGTACCACTTTTAGTAAACTGATTACTACAACAGTGTGAGACGAAATAAGGGCGGAGAGATGCATCGATTTACATTTCATGAATGAGCGAATGAATAATTTTGACTCTATATAGCTGTTATATATGTATATAGTTATATAGTTTCCCGTAATTTCAGTGAGATTCTGCTTTTTCCGATACTAATATGTGATATTGACAAAAAAACTTGGGGGTTTATCATATGATTTTGGTCTTTTTCTATGATTTCACAAACTTGCAAGTAGCTCAAAAGCGGTTTGACTTTGTACTAAGGTATATACGGCTTAATGTATTCTTAATGGGTTATACTATCACACCTTAAAAGGTTTGTATTGACCTTCCGGACACCCTAAATAGTGGAATAAATCGATCACAGACTAGTTTAAAGTATTTCACTGTCAATAGTTAAAAATACCGTAAAATTATGCTATAAAGGGCCCAGAGTATAAATAACAAACCAAGGAAAACCACACTACTGTTAGAACACGCTAACAATACACTAGAGGTGCTTACTGGAAATAAATATCTACACAAATATTAGCAGAAAATAATGTAAGCATATAATATATTGTAATATTTGATAAAGAACTACATCTTACGTACGAAATTGATGGCAGTGAGTCACCTTTCTTGCTACACAAATAACATTCACCCACTTAGGGCACTTTAAACAGTTTTATGTTATGGTGTAAAAACACAAATTGCGTAAATGTAGAGGGATGGAATATCGATCAAAGCTACATTTTTTTTTTAAGAAACATGTAATAAGAAATAATAACATGAAACTATTGACTTTCGAGGAAGGGATATGCCGATATCATCTAAACAGATAATTCTTTCATGTTAAAAAAATAAACAACAAATGCAAACCTACGAGAATGACATTAATTGAATGTAGATCTTTTGCATATATTTCACTAGACTTAGTATCTCTAATGTGAAACAGGTGTGAAAAGTCACCCTTATTTTGCATAATACACAGTGAATCCAAAAAACTGTTTTTGAAAATATCTCAATAGCTCAATTACAAGGTAAAGTTTTTAGTAGTACAATTGTGTTCAAGATATGGGCCACAGAATTTTGAGCATCATGTTTATGTATCATCTGCGTGATGTCCATATTTCAGCATTTTAAAATAACTGATTTCATGGTTTTTGACCACACAAGGTTTTGGTAAAATATCGATTACTGTATTTCTTCAGAAGAATAAATCAAAATAGTTTTTTTTAACAGATATATTGTTGAAATGGCAAGGTTTTTTGAATACGTGCTTACGTTTATTTGGAAAAATATTGTTTTATATTGCTTGGATGAGACACTGCTTATCATTTCGTACTTAAAAATATGATAAAAAGGAGGGGTTTCGGGTTTTGTTTGTTCAACAATCAGATTCCTCGTCAAGCGATGGTGTCTTACCTGGCAAACTGCCTCCGTACATGGATGATGTTTCGTCATCCAGGTCATCCGTGCTGCTCATTCGGCCTTTAGAAAAGCAAAAGATAACGTTCAAATATCTCTTGAACATGTACAAATGGGAGACAACTGGTGGTTTTAGTAACCAATCCCACAACAATACTTCTGAGGCTGTATTTATCCAATATTTTTTGCTGAGGCAGTAGTACATCCATACACCTCTATTTCTGAGGTCCTTTCAAGTTTTATTCTGTGCGGAAGTGTAGCGTTGAACGTTGAATAAGTTAATTAGTTATGAACAAGAAAACTTCGTCCCGTTCCTTTTTTTCAAGATTGTTTAATTTTAAGGTCTGTTTTTTTAACTTGCATCATACTGATTTTAAACGTTTAAAAATACACCACAATAAGTTGCTAATGTCAATGTTTACGGTGCGCTAAATAAATCTGCGGCTACATTCAAGGACATTTGAGTGGTATTAATCTATTAATGAAATGTTGTCTTATAAACGTTTATATCCATGCACAAGGCTGCGCCTTTTGTGAAATTGATATATTTATTCAGTTTGTTATAACTCCGATCATTATGTGTAAAAACTGGACAAATATCATTATTATCATTACTGAGTATAATTGTAGTTGCATTCCAGTTAGAATCAAGCTGAAGTCAAATAACACTGTGCTTAATGCCACCCGACTAACGCCAGCAGCGAGGTGAGGCGTGGTGAGTCCCATTCCTCACTTTACCAAATTGCCTAGCCGGTTTTACATATTAGTTTCTGCGACTAGAGTTATGCTAAGCCGCCAAATCTTTTTTGCACAAAGGGAAAGATTTTTTTATATCATTTTTTATACCATTTTTAGGAATCTAAAAATGACACAAAACGTTAGATTTCATTGTGAAATAATATTTGCAGAGGTTAAGAGGATATTTTCCGATAAAAGTCTGTCGTGGTGATTGTATATATCAATAAGTCAGATCTAAGCTTAAAATAAGACATGATAAAAAACCGATGACGATTAAAAACGTTATCAATTTGGCCAATTTCCCTGTATTATCGCGTATTTACTGTAAGAAATCTTAAGACGAATCGTAGTTGTGTATAATTTAGTCTCAAATTTTCTAATGACTAGCTTAATTTTCGCGTAAAACGTGACCTGCCTAACACTCTCCAATAATTTGAAGACTATTATGTCCGCATCTACTATCACAAATAACGTTCACAATTTGACAGGAATATTGAAAAACACATAGATGCAAAGTCTATTGCAAAGACTGGTCACTTCAATGGCCAGTTGACTACCAGACAATATTTCTTATTGTTGCAATGGTTAGTTTTGGATGTTCGTAGATATGTGATGGAAAACACTTCTAGTGTTCGTTTTAAAATGTAGAGTTACGAGTTAAACAGAAGAATTTGAGTAAATAGATTTTAGGAGGTGAAAGAGGTTATTGTTAAACAATCGAACACAGCTGGATGGATCCATGTATTCGCGCGCTACATGAGATGACAGCAACTCAGCTGTAGAATTCGTATATAAATTTGTCATTCGCCAATACCAGTTAGAGACCAATACCAATTTGCGACAATATCAATAGATCGGGAGCCAATGGGCGAGCGCACTATGAATACGAATATCCTGTCTCAAATAAACGTGTGGGCTATGTGGTTTGTAGTAATTGATTGATTTTGCCACACCAGACCTTCACGAAAACAAACAGTTAAAATTATCATAGATTATAGTGGGATGCATTTTAACGCTTATTAAGGAATAAGTTCCAGCATAATTCACTTTCTAAGATATTTACTTGCGCTTGGTTTAAACCACAATGATGCTTTATGAATTTACCCACACCAGAATTGAACCGTCTCCACCAACGTCTTGAGTTAAATCTCAGATTAACAATGTATCTATTTTCGTCAAACATCAATTTGACAAATTTAGTGTTGATCTATCTAAAACGTTAACCAGCCGACGGGCGTCTTTAGACAAATTCAACTGTTGTGACAATCATTATAATAACGGGTGTTTTTTTCGAGGTATAGAACTTTAAGTTGGCATTACTTTTGAAGATGGCAACCGATTTGACACGAATGAGTCCATCCGCCTTCGAGCACAGGAATTGGATCTGTGTCCATCCACTTTATGGAATATTTTGCGGAAGGATCTTGGTTTGTGTGCTTACAAAATCCAACTCGTGCAAGAATTGAAGCCAAACGATCATCAAGCAAGGCGTAGATTCGTTGAATGGGCCCAAAACGAGATTGCCGTTGTTCCCGATTTTCATAAGCAATTTTTTTGCCATGAAGCGCACTTCTGGTTGAATGGCTGCGGCAACAAACAAAACTGCCACATTTGGAGTGAAGCGAATCCTCAAGTCTATGTCGAAACACCGTTACAACCAGAAAAACTGACTGTTTGGTGCGCTTTATGGGCTGGTGGAATCATTGGTCCGTACTTCTTCAAAAACGATGATGGCCAGAACGTTACAGTCAATGGTGATCGGCATAGAACCATGATTACTAACTTTTTCATTCCTGAATTGAACAATCATGATGTCCAGGAGCTGTGGTTCCAACAAGACGGCGCAACATGTCACACAGCTCGTGCTACAATCGATTTATTGAAAGACACGTTTGGTGACCTGTGAATTGGCCTCCAAGATCTTGTGATTTAACACTGCTAGACTATTTTCTGTGGGGCTATGTAAAGTCATTGGTCTATGCGGATAAGCCACAAACGCTTGACCATTTGGAAGACAACATTCGCAATGTTATTGCCGATATACGGCCACAAATGTTGGAAAAAGTAATCAAAAATTGGACGTCCATATGGACTACACCCGAGCTAGCCGTGGCAGTCATATGCCAGAAATCATTATTTAAAATGTAATGCCACAATATTATCTTTCGAATAAAAAAAAATTCATGTCAATCGAATAACCCATCGTTGTTTTATTGCAATTTAAAGTTCTATACCTCTAAAAAAAACACCCTTTATAAACGGTATTTGAACTCGCAAGCTATAAATCTCAAACTTTCGATAAATTAATTGCTTCCCGAATACACCAAACGCCACTGATAGATATCGTGGTTATCACGGATTGATCTTAGTTTAAACTCGCTGACCCGCTATTAATAGCCGTCAACATTAAACGAAGATCAACCCAAGTCGATAATACACTGTGGATCTTTATTGATACAGTTGGAGAGATCCAGTCAATATGAACTAGAATGAAGCTCCATTTGCTAAAACCCAAAACCTTCATCACCATTCAACTCACCTCGAATAAGTCCCCCACGCCCGTTTCCGCCTCTGTACAAAGCGTTCTCCAGGTACGCATATCCATTGTTGTTGATGATCGAGAATCCGCACAGCATCTCGATCTGTTTCCACCTGTGCGCGCGCTCCTGCAACTCCTGTGTCACCTCCTGAAGCGACGTGCGCGCCTCCACGATGCTCCTGTCAACTTCGTCGATCGACTTGCCGTGCGTCGATACGAACGCACCAACTAGACTGGAGCGCTTCTTGCGCAATTTCTCACACTGTTGGAACGTAGACCAGGAAAATAAGCGAATAAGACACCTGATTCAAGACAGTTGCAGAGTCAACTAACCAATGGTCGTTCCGAATACTATAGGTATCTAGTAACAAAATCTGTAGAGAATGGCAGCGATACCGAATTTTGCTCCCGCTAGGTGGCCCTAGCGTGACTGCAAGTCAAACTAGCAAATCTAGGTGGGATAAAGTCGACAGCTACAGTAGCAAGCTTTGCGATATGGTTGCCTTTGATGATAAGAATGCCTCCAACACGGCACAATGGCAGAAAATTGTTGGATCTCTGGAGAAGCTAAACACTCCTAGCAATCGAGTGAATATGGGCTATCATAATGAGAAGACGCTAATGGTAGGACAATCCACGATGAAGGTAACCATGGGAGGCCGCAGGTCTCCGTCTTAGGATTGTTGCTTTAGAAGGTGTTATATGATGAGGTCCTGCGGTTGCAGATGGTTCCGGGAATTCGCCTGATAAGGCCATGCCGATGCCGTGGCGATGATAGTCACTAGGCAAAGAGAGACGTGAACTAGAAAGGCTTTTGGCATATAGAATCATGAGAATAGGGACGTCGAGGTTCGAAGCCAAAATGCGATTAACTACGTGGGTTGGCTGGACAAAGATCTGAAAACTAGTAGTAGTTAAAGTGGGAGGAGAAGCCTGGCAAGTACGCCACCTTTGGCTCTTTTTGCCGATCTCGAATGTATCAACACTCCTAATGAAGATCAGGACGTCCAACTACTCAGCTGAAAACCTTAGGTTGTAGTACGCGGGGCACAAGACTAGGTTGTGAAATGCTGGTTCGACTTCCTCACAGCGCACGAGGAAAATACTGTCTCTTTTTACTATTAGGACGGACAAGTGCCTGTTCAATCTACAGTCATCTGTAAGGACCCCTACCAAAAGATTGAGTGATTCCCTACTTCTATGTATTAGCCAACGCGTCCGACGTTTGTCGGAGTCCGCTACGAACCTCTTGGCTTGCTTGCTGTCGTCTCTTTTTTCACCACGCTATTCCCAGATCCGTATATTCGCATTGGTTCAATCCGACGTTGACATGGCGTCTGCTTATACCCATCCTAGGCTCGTAACCAATACATGGGTTTCTGGGCCCCTGCCTAGCAAGATAATAGGCTCTCTTATTACCCGGTATTCCGCTGTGTTCGGGGTCACTTCTTCAGATCGAACTAAGCTCTGAAGAGCAGTGGTGCATTCCTGGACTAAAGGTAAACTTGTCATCGGTGGTGCCACCGCCTCCAGAGCTGCTTGAGAAGAAATAAATCTGCTCCGCTCAATGCAATGCACTACTGTAGCTCCTTTGAGTATGCCACCATTAAGATGACATGTAGCTCTGCCCGGAAGAATGTTGTGTGGGTTCCAAGCGCGAAGCTTTCCTGCAGGTCTTTACCTTCCAGGTATATTTTCGCCCCACTGGATTTGATTTTCCTGGTAAAGGATTCGCCAGTGAAACACATGAGGCTATGAAGCGGAAATTTAATATTCCCATCCACCCATTCTTCTCTAGCAGGCATGATGAGTGAACATTCTAAATCTGTTCTTAGGGCATTCTTGGCCCTCTCCACTCTTACCGCAGATATGGCAAGATTCTTCTCCGTAACATCACTGGCAAAAGTAGTTAACTTGATTTCGCAGTACGGAACCCCTATCTACAACTAGGACTTGAAGAAAGAGAAAGGCAGCTGATGTTCAGAAGCCAGCGAAAAGCAGTGCTGCGCGTGGTCTGTGCTTACAGAACGGTGTCGAGCGATACGTTGCTGGTGGTGGCTGGTATCACTTCAAGTCATTTGCTGGCTGAGGTGATATGCGTAGTCTATAAAAACGGCGACACAGCTAGAAGCGACGTTAGAGAGGCGCTTTTTGTCAGATGAAAGGAGAAACCTGGTCATGGTGCATGGCTCAGGAGTTTGAAACAGGTATAAAACAGAAAAAATTCATCTTGGTCGATCGTTCTCCATTCTCAACGTCTTGGGAATGTCTCGCCAAATCTATGAATTATATAAGAGTTTGAAAAAGGGGGATGTTTTGTCTTCTGAAACTGACCCTGTGTATGAATTACGTGAGTTACTTTAGAGCGCCTACCTACGGCCAATAATCAAACTCAATATGATTCAAGAAGACAATGTGCATGGAGCTGCCTCAGTCACTGTTATAAATAATTGAGAAAATCTAGTTAATAAAGTGTCAGTGATCCATCGTAGCGTGATCGCATCTTGTAGGAAGAACAAATTGTTAAGGTGTATATAATCATGGGCGCCCACATGGGGGTCAATGGGGGTGCTCAGAATCCGGTTGGGCCTTAAAATTTTGCATCTTTAGCATTTGCTACACTCAGCTTCTCAAAAAGTTATGGGAAATAATCATACACTTTGCCGATTTTTGTTCACTCCTCGCAGAAACCTACGTCGCTTGGGCCACCAATCCTCCACATGCCCACGATTGTCCTTTGTTTTTCATCTGAGTTTCCACAAAACTACTTGCCTTTATTTACCATTTCAACATGGTCATTTTGATAAAATAGAGGAAATTGCTGTGGCATGTTTGCACAATCCCGAACCGTCTTTTAATCGTAAAATAATACACCGTTAAATTGTCGTTGTCTTAACAACACATGCGCAATATAAATTCGAAGAAGTCAGTGAATATCGCGTTGAATTTAAATCCCAAACTGGACACCCTTCAGTTCACGGTTTCCCTCCATGTTGTATGTCAATAATGTCACAAACTAAAAATTCGTATTTATTCGACATTATAAGCAGCTTTTCCTGCAGTTTAGAGTTAACCCCCTTACATTAAAGTGCAAAAGTACTTACAGCTTCTCTTGCTTGCTGCAATTGCTTCTCTGCTGATATCTTCTTTTTCATATATGCTTTATTTTCTGTTTCATAAGTAAGCTGGAGCCATTGCTGCAATTCGTGAGGTGGCATCCAACATCTATCCTTGAGTTCACCTTCTGCCAGCTGTAGTTCTGTTCGAAGCATCTTCAAAAGAGAAATTTAGATCAAAGACATGCCCAAAAATATTGGTTCTTTAGTATGAGGAAGTCCAACATAGAACTGTTATAAGAATTGAGCTATCAATACTGTCTAAAAGAATCATTGAATACTTGTGTTCAGTTTGATTTTGTATCTTAAGGGAAGGATTTCCATGTGTTGGTGGCTGCAACCCTGATAAATTTTGTTTCTTAACTAGTCAGCCAAGACTACCCTCTTCCCTTTTCCATTTAAAATATTGTTCTTTGTTGCCTGATTTTTCAAGACGTATTACATACAAAAACAATTTACACATTTTATTGTTTTTGTAGGGCGTTTTTTTTATATCTCTGTATGAAACAGTTTTCCAATGAGTACGATTTTTCATTGTGTAGGGCTTTACCTCTATTTCAGCTTTCAGTTGAGAAACTTCCAGATCAGAGTATGGCAGAGTATTTAGCTCACTCTTCGAATCCTGCAATTTTTTTTCTAAATTTTGTTTTTCCGTTATAACGGATTCCTGAGCCTGTTTTGCATGCTCTAATTCTTTCTGTAAATTTTCTAATGCTTTCTCCGCGTTTTGCAAGCTATCCATATCTTTGGTCATTCTGTTTAAATGCCTTTTGAACTTTTTATTCTGTTGATAGGCGTACCAACCACCAAGTCCGCCGACTATGGTTAGGAATATTAAAGTTAAGTCCTTCCATCCAGTCAAATCTGTGGAAAAAATAACAAAATTAAAATTTATATTTCATACGTATGTACAACGTACTTAAAATGAATGAGCGATTATAATCAAATTTATTGCAAAACAATTTCGAAACATAATTCGTTAATAGCAGAATAAGACTAAAATAATTACGTGACGAACCGCATCATGTGAAATAATTGAGCATTAAGGATAAGTCACTGGACTTTTCTGTAGTAATTGCTAATTCATACAGGTGTTCTTATCAGATACATATTTTCTTGATTAAACTATGTTTTTTAAGGTAGTCCAAATAATGGAGTAAGTAATACAAACAAACTAATGAAAATGGTGATACGAGTTTTGAACTGCCCAAAATTTACATTGGCGATGAAGGAGCTGTCATACAGACCAGTTTTTGATCGAAAATCCTGAGGCAAACACCGGGAGAAAAACGATAGGTCACCAACTGCTTAGATTTACATTAAAAATTCACTGAAAAGTTGTTTACATTCTGTTGAAGGTTACATAACTTCCACAGTATTTGGATAACTGACAACTTGACAAGAGAACACGACAGGACCGCCAACATTTACTTCTAACATGTGTAATGGTAATGCCTTGAAAAATTGATATAAAATTTAAAGATATTCCGTCGTGAACTTGCCAACTTTTTAATATGTAAACCATATTATAATTACTATGTGTGACTTGTACAGTTTACCTTCTTAAAATCCACATATGTAATTATTTTACAGTTTGTTACAGTGATTGGGTCCAAGAGAACGGTAAGTAGATATAATAGAGACAGAAATGTTTACTGATGCTTGGATTTTCTCAGCAGCAACAGTTTATTACGTGTGAAAATGTTCATTTATTTGAATAAATACTGTTTCGTGTAACAATAAAGTTAGAACTAACTTCAAAGTGTGTTTCATAACATTGCATGCAATACAAAATATGTTTGTACTATGGAACTTAATCACGAAGGCTTAAATGCCCAAAAAGCGATCTCAAAATGTACGCAACAATGTTGCTAACCATGTGTGACTTTGTAATACAGGAAGGACATACATACAATTGAAGATACAGTAAGTTCCCATCTATAAAGCTTGCCAGCCATTTTTTAGATGCTTTAGAGTTCAGACTTAAAATTATCCTAACAGTATATTAATAAAAAAACGATTCCCAGAAGAATGGAGAAAAGTATTTTATATATTAATAGACTTGTGAAAAAAATTTCGACCAATCTATATATTATTTTGCCCAATCTTACATTCATGATAACTATTACTGTTATGGTCCACAAGAGATACGCGGAAACATAGTTTAGACATTTAACCTCAAATAAACAATAGCACAGTTGGTATTGATTTTCACTTTTGAAATGTTATTCATAGTGTTGTATTTAAGGGGATGTACCATTTTTTAGTATAACCTTAATTTTCCCTACGTGTGAATTTTATTTGTATACATATTTATTATTGCCTAGATCAGTAAAGCTCCTTTAAACTAATGAAATAACGTATGACGTTCGATCAAATACTAACTAAGAAAAAAATTAATAAAACCATACGTGATAGACTATAAAGTCCATCGTTAAACACTTACAAATCGTCCGCTCCCATATTTGGTATACATATAACATAATATAGACGCATTCAACATTTCATTTCATATAACGATCATTTCGGCAACGTGTAAATAACGTCATTCACAAACCGCGCACATTTGTATGAAATCTGGTAAAGAATCAGCTTAATTTCATTTTAGCACGACAACAATAATACATAAAACTCGACGGATGAATAACGCTACGGCAATTAATTTGAACCGGGTATCACCCATCGCATTTTAAACAGCTTTGCAAGTGAGAAATTATCATATTTGATTGAACAGCCAAAAATTCGAACAGTGACATCCACTAAAAATAAAATCGACATCATGAATGAGACAGAATACCAGCATAAAAAATATATAATTGGTTGGTCACGGTTGGTGATGATAATAATACATGTTGAGTATATACAGAGTGCTAAAAACTCGACACATTGTATTTTATTACCAGAGTACCGTAAATTCTTCCAACGAATTAATGTGAGCTTGTTAGTACGAATTTTTAGTCAGTTGAATTTATGATATTGAAAATGCTTTTTCTCGGAAGATTTCACATTCTCGACAACCTAAAAACGAAGGCGTGATCGCGCCGAGCAGTTCTAGATTAACAAAACATAACCACTGGAATGTAAAGCTAAATCCGGCGAGTTGGTTTAGCAGACGTAAAACGTGGAGGCCTCACAGGCAAGAGTTCAGAAGCAAACACATTACTATTATATTAGTAAAAACCTGCAGTATCACAAACTGCTTGCCAATTCTGCAACAGAAAACTGTGACATTTTGAGTGATTATTAGACAAACTCTAACTGTTCAATCAGTAACCAAATCACGAGATAATTCAGGACAAGCTCATGGATATTATGCAAATTATATTACAGTTTCTTAACACAAACTAACATAGCCTACCACCTGCTATATTCTTTCAATTTTAGTACTGATCAAATCGATCCTAGATGATTGAATTAACTACTCATTGTATTCTTTCTCTACCGAGTTCAGAAGGAGATAGAAATAATATAATCTCTATTAGAATCATCATAGCATAGAAAAACTTTTACGTCTTTTTAAGTACAGGGTACTTTACACTTTACCATCATCAACAAATATTTGTTGGATGTCAGTCAAACATTGAGTTGACTTCAACCGGTATAGCACAGGGTATACTTGGGCCCATTTTGTTTGTAGTTTTTTTAAATGATCTCTTTTTTGTTAGCAGTAGTGTTGAGAGCAACCATAAAATTATTTGCTATGCTGAGGTGGGACAAGTGTAGAGGACCTAAATGTTAATGGGAAATCTTATTCAGAAGTGTGAATACATGGTTTTTTGACAGCAAACTAGCGCTGGATAAATCCAAAACTGATGCAATATTATTTAGAACTAAGCAGTGTAAAGTCATTAGGCCACAATGTATCTATATAGGTAATAAAAATAATAATAATAATGTGTCTTTATTTTTGGGTTAAAAGAACAAACAACAAAAAACTCAGTTGATGAGGGAGGCAAAATTCAACACCATTGCTCTTTCATGCAATCCCCATGCAGACGATCATCATCTGCAGTTGAGTGAAAGTGTACAATTCTTAGACATCTAAATTGATGAATGTTTAGATTGGACAACACATGTATTTCAAACTGCTGAATAGGCTTAATTCCATTTGCTATGGTTTTAGGGTAATATCAAGATATCTGAATAATTCGAGTATGAAAATATTGTACTATGCTTATTTTGAAAATGTTATAAAGTTTGGGATTATTTTTTGGGGTGCAATAGGTTTATTCAAAAAAGAGCGTTAGGTCTGATAAAGGGACTAAATTTCAATGAAAGTGTTTAAATCTGAAAAAAAACATAACTATGTATGCCATCTACATATGTGTATGAGTGTATAATTTTTTTTTTCAGAAATGAAAATTTATTTGAGCTTGAGGTGCAAACTATTTATGATAATAATGTTTAAAATTTTTCAATGATCTACCAAATGAAATTAAAAACATAAACAGATTACATAAATTTAAAGAGACCATTTAGTAATTTCCAGTACAGTCAGAGCCTTATACCATAGATGAGTTCTATGTGAGTTGTAATAATTTCAGATTGTAGCTGTTTTATGATATATAACTATGTAACAAGAAAAAAAAGGTCTGAGATAAACTACTATAGTTACGGTGATAGCGGCATTTCATTTTGTAGTTGCTATACAATTTCTATAATGCCATTGTACAATTTGAAATATAGCTTATTATTTTATCATTATTAAAAAATTAAATCAACATATTATTTCAACAGATATTAATCGCATTTGTGGCAAGTTGGCGGTAGAAATCCTAAATTATTAATGTCTTCCTCTAAGGAATTTTAATATTAATTTTACTAATGCATTTCTTTAGCTAGTTGAAGTCATAGGATGAGTTGATGACAAATACTAAATAATGACAGACTATGCTCAGAATTGAACAAGTCATTTTTTAAAAATAATACCTTTTGGTGGTCCAAACAAAACAACATCCATAGCCTTTAAGGCAATTTTGCGTTTGTGTATTGGATCTTTGATTCCAAGGATTGTTAAGTACTTTCCATCATCAACTGCTAATCTGCAAAGAAATAACATTTCAAGTTGTATACAGCACGGAGAATATCAATTGAAATTCTAAAATTATGGATATTCAGTAAGCATAAATGTGCAGTTTTGTATAAAAATATGAAATGCAATCAAAATAGTCTGTGATACAGGGAGGGATTAAGGGTGATGTTGGAATAGACGTGAGACATATATTAATTTAAATGCTAAAAATAAGAAGCCTAAATGCCACGGCACCGCGGCTGCTAAGAGGATCGCAAAGAAATTTTGTTAACCCTCGGGACAACTGAGCGGTCGTATCAACCAGTTCTGAATGTACGAAGTTCGACGCAGTTAGGATGGTAGACCTAAGTCAGGCGGGTCTGTCAGGCACATTCGATCGGCGGCATCATGGAGGAGAGCTCTGAGGAGCAAAGGCCGTTGGTGTAGCGGCAGAAGAGAGCGAGAAAGGGTCCCAAGACTGTCTGTTAGAGAAGAGTTATCGATCAGTCGGACAGCCCTCCTCTGGACTGCATTGAGCATAAATAATGTAGTCGGTGCGGCAGCACCCAAACGTGTGAGCAATACTCAAGGCTAGGCATTATCTGGGCCTTGTATAGAGTGAGAAGGTCATGCGGAGAAAAGTACTTCTTACCCCAAACAAATAGCCTAGCTTTGGACTCCGATCAGCCGAAATGAACGGCTCTTTGGCAGAACTCGGCCATTCATCGAAACTGGATGAGCGTTAGGAGGCTTTTTGTTCGTCAAGGTACAGTACTGTGTTTTGGAAGCATTGAACTGTACAAGATTATTGCGTCCTCAAGCAGTGATAACCTCCAGGTCTCTCGTCAGAGAGGAAGTCGTCGCTAGTCTTCTTTTTTTCACCTCAGCGGCAGAAATCGGCTTGTCGCTCTGAATTCCTGCATGTAGAGTGCTGTCATCAGCAAAGCTGTGGATTGGGTTGATCATACCGGAAAGGAGGCAAGATATGTAAGTGGAACACTGTCGGAGCCAAGGCCGATCCCTGGGGAACACCCGCGATGACGTTGTGGGATGAAGAGGAGAACCTGTCAATTACGATGGATATCTTGCGGCCAGAGAGAAAGTCAGCCACCCATCAGCAAAGCTTCTCTGGAAGGCCATAGGATGGAAGTTTGCATAAGAAGTCGGCGTGCCACAGCTGATCGAACGCTTTCGTGTTATCGTCGTCCATGGTGGAATTGGCAGCAAAGATCTTGGCAAGCACTTCCGCCTTGGTCTTTTAGTCGGTTACAATCGTTCGATCCTGATACGTAAGTAGTGGAGGGCTACTCTGTGAGAAGTGCCTTTCAATCTGCTTGGTCAGCATCCAGAAAGACCGGCTGCCATTGCGCTGCGACATTACCCTGTGCCTAACTTTGTATTATGCTGGTTTTTGTCATTGCGAACCGCTTCTTTATATTTGTTTCTCGACTCGACGTCGGCTTGTCTGTTCTCTACAGTGGGGTTTTGTAAGAAGGTTCTGTGTGCCTTGATCTTTTGCTGGCGAGCAGTGTCGCATGATTTGTTGTACCCTGTTTTAGGCACTTTCACTGTATGAGGGATGTATTCCTCCATCCCGACGTGGATACAACCATCTCTCCAAGGAAAGGTAGAGAAGAAGTCTCTGAGAATCTCCCAGTCGGCATGTCCGTAATTGCACGACCTGCTGCATCGGTCTTGTTTGTGCCCAACCAATTATGGGCATTGAAAATCACTGAGGAGAACCTGAAGTGGGGTAATTGATGTTCAGGAAGTGGAACTTGACAGCGAGGTATTCAAGTTTTGGAGTTGAGGCGAAGCCATAGAATGTCCTTCTGGTCTGATTCCAAAGAAACGTCTCTGGAGCAGGAAAGACTGCTGCGGACAAAAGCCACAACTCCTCCGCTCTTTCTCAGATTGGAGTGCACCTCGTAATTTGGAAAGCTAAGATGGTTAACCAGTGCAGACTCTGAGATTTTTTTCTCTCCCAAGAAAAGCTAGGTAAACGTTACCCTGAATAAAGAAGTTTTGCTATTACATTACATTATTAGAATTGGATTGATAAACCTTGAAGGTATTTACTATTTCCTACAATAGGAGCAAAACAAGAGATGTCAGTCTACTACAAAAAACAAGGACTGATTGACAAGCGAATATAGCCAATTTTAATAAAAAATATAGAATCATAATTTTTTGAGGTAATACTGGATTATCTTTTATTTATAAAAAGACATAATATATGTAATATTTTGAAATAGTATTGTCATATACTTGTAGCAAAGAGCTTATAATCGAGTATCAAGTAGCTAACAAGATAACCTAATCAAATCAGTACCTGCTTGTATATAGTAAATAGTAACCAATGTAGTATTATTGGAACTAGTTTTGTCAGTAACTACATTATTTAGAATTTCCTCAAATATTTATTTCATATTCACTATGTGTGAAGTGGGTGGTGGGGACCATGAAACTGATTGCAGGGTGATGTGGCAGAGATCTGAAATAACTCAAATTGCTATATTTCAGATATTGATTCACTAAATTTGTTAAATATTTTCATGTAAAAATTGTCAAACCATAAAAATGGAACAAACAGTAAATAAATGAATGGATATCCTCTGTAAAGAAGAAAAACTATACAACATAGCCTAGTATGATATTAGTGAGTATACAGTATTTTCACTATAATGTGTGCAAAAACTAAGTACAACAGAATAAATATTAACTAATCAATATAGGCTGACATGAAGTAAACTCTGAAACAGAATTTCATTACGTAGATAGGTACTCACATTTAATGAGGTGTTGTAGGAAGTTTGTGTCAGACATTTGTCTTATATTCTGACCTCATGTTAGGTAGCTTTGACTATTCATCCTAAGCTCTTTAATGCCTTTCACATGAATTCCTTTCCCTTTTATGCACAGTTTGAGGTTGTAAGTTTAAATAATGTTTTATGTATTCAAATACCATACATATTGTCATATTCATATTTTTTGAGTATGCAAATTACTTAGCCTAAGTGCACCACTACCTTTTCAAGTACCTACATTTGGTTTTATTTAATTTCAATTAAAAAGAAGCCAAAAGTTGTTACTAAAGCATCTAGTTGCCAAGTATTGACAGGTCCAGAGTCTTGAATAATTATGGTCACCAGGTGGTGCTGTCATCATGCACGTAGCAAATACTATTAGTCTTTGGTACTTTGGCATTCAATTCCTCTATCATTTCTCACATTAGTTTATTAAAGTTTCCGTAACTTCAATTAAAAAAACTTGCTCAGATTATTAATTTCTTCTATTTCAAGCAGGATTTGAGGCTTGTAAACAATTATTATATGTGAATCTAGAATTTGTAATACTGGAATCTTCTACACATATATTTAAGTATCCAATAGAACACTGCTTATTGTACAGTAAAAAAAATATATTATAAAAAATAAGTCAGTTGTTGAATCTTACTGTTTACAATGCTTTAAGCAAAACAGTGCATGTAATGCTATGCTACAAACTACAATGAAACTTGTGTGCTGCTTATTACTATTAACAATGAGCTACTTATCATGTGAAAATTGGCAGAAGTAACAAACAAACACAACAGTACAACATGAAGGAAGTGGTGAGGGGCTTCCTTCTTGCAGATATTCTCAAACAGTTATAGGGTATGCAGTGTATCATTTGTAAATGCTTATCAGCTCTTATGGATAAATTATCCTGATCATACTTTAACTAAAAATTAGCTGATAAATACCTACCTTGGCAATTTAGCACCATTTACTCCATTTTGAATAAAGTTAGGAACATATTGTGGTAACTGAACACAGTTGGTTAACCAATCACTAGTCTGATCAAGTGTCCAGTTGTGTACCTCTGATCTGAGCCATGCCTCCAGTAATTCCTTGACAGATATGTGCATATCATCATTCTTATGGAAGTTTTTCTGCCTTTTTTCTTTCCCTGCATCGATCTTCAGTTCCTTGAGGAACTGCAAGAATATCATTTATAGGTCTTATGATCTTACATAATAATTGAAGAAGAATAACTCACATCATCTGATTCTGATAAATCAATTGTGCCATCTTGATCATCATCTATTTGTTTATGCAGAATTTGAATAGCTTCAAGTCCTAGTCGATCAGAATGTGTTGCAGCTAAGCATATTAAGTCTTCGCTGCTACATGAGTCAACTAAAAAGAGGAAGAATTCAGTCACTTCATCTTTGAGCTACCTAAAAACTTACCATCCGGAGTTTGTGGCACTTCATATGGATTATTGGTACTTCTCAGGTTTTCCTTGCTAGTAGCATATACTCCTTGGTCATAGTATCCATGATTTTCAGCAGAACTTTTTGAGCAGTAGATATTAAGAACTATCCATATAATAAGGCCCCTAATTTTCATTCTTAATATCCTATTAGCAATAGTTAGTTATATCTACAAAAAATGCTAGACAGAATTATCATATTATTTTGTTATTTTCTGAGGTTGACATTTTTGTGTGCAGTTGTAAAAATTTTGTCATGGTTGTCAAATTTGTGTCACTGTCAACCGATGGAGGGGAGAAGTGATTCACGCTAATATAGAACTGGATTCCTAGTTCCCTATAGGAGTATTCAAGAAGACATCTGATTCGAATTTTATCGCGAAGGTATACTCTGTGGCAAAGGTTTAATTAATCAATGGCGTAGCGTAGGCTTCCACCACCGGCACGGGTATTACGTGTCTAGAAAAGTGGCGTTTATCGTTTTTTTTTGACATTATACTGTTTTTTTTTGACGTTATGTAGGTTTTTCTACAAGATGTTAGCTTAGCACTCAGCTTAGTAGTACATGTTGCTTAAACGTCATGAGGCTTCAGTTCTCAAAGTTTGACTCTGATGTGATGTAAAATCTGCTTCAGAGATGGCATTACTGGAGGTCTAAGCTGGAAGTTGTATGTGTTCATGATAATTCCATTCGATTCGTGTCTTAAATACACTTAATTGAGATTCAAAGCTAGAAATTAATTGCGCATCCACTTTTTCTTATCCAGTCTGGAAATTACATATGCAAATTTGCTGAATTTAAAAAATTAGAGAGATAAGAAATAATTATATACATATATATACACTGTCGAATTACAAGCCATATACATACATGCTAACAGTAATTACACGCAACGCGGGCGCGATGATGATTCCCCATAATTCTCCTCAAACTTTTTCGTAATTTATAACTTTGAACATAACCTGTCTTCAAAAAGGATAACATATAAATAACCTGTTTGGCACAGCTAATAGATTTACTTCATTGGCAGCATATTCAGTAATGATTTTCTCACACAGCAAATATTACTGGTTTTATACACATGCAGAGCAATCCACCCGATCTTGCTATTCAACCAACTTTCTCCTTAGAGATAAAAACTAGAGACACATACCATTCTGCCTCACAATACATATATACAACCAGCAATGCGTGTAAAAACTACCTAGTCTGCAAGATGACATCTTATAGCTTTTTTGACGTTTTATAGGTTTTTTACATAATACCCGTGCGGAGACCAAAGTTTGTTGCTTTTACGTAAAAAAAACTAAAAAACGTCTAAAAAGCCGACAAAATGTTAACTTGCTGCCTAGATAGTTCCTAGTGTGTAAATATTACAATCCGCGTTACTCGCAATGAGCGTCCATCCATGGAGGAATAACTAAACGACATGACACGCTCAGTGACCTTGCTGCAAGCTGCAAGTCAGTTTCTATCATACTTTTTTGGTTGCAGAATGCCGAGAACTCTGAGAAAATGTGTGGTTGACTAGCAGAGTAGCAAGATCACATCTGGATGATTGGGTGTATTGGTTCTGCATGTGTAAAAAATCAGTGATACTATGTGAGACAAGTATTACTGAATATGCTGCCCATGAAATATATCTATTGTCTTTTTCACGAGTATCCATTGCGGTGGAATGACAACTGATTATCTAGTAATATTTCAAAATTCCCCATATCGACAAAGGACACATAATTCAGATTGATCCGTCAACGCCAGCTAGACAGAGCCATATGCTGTTTTTTTTTGTACGCTACAGAATCATTTTGTACTTTCTAGCAACTCTTTTATTTAGAAAAGTATACAAAAGAAAACATCACAAGCAAGCTTTATCATATAAATGTCACTTGCTGATCAGCTGTTCACTTCAGTAGACTTCAAAGCGTGATGGATACTGGTGAAATAGGGTTTATTAGCTGTGCCAGACGGGTTATTTGTGTTGTCCTTTCTGAAGAGAGGTTATTTTCAAAGATACACATTATACCCGATTTCACGAGTATGCATCACGCTTTGACGTCGACTGAAGTGAACAGCTGATCAGCATGTGACATTTTTGTGTTAGTCTGCAACGTTGGCAATAATGAATCGGGTGTAAATCTAGTAAAACTTGTTTGTAGTCTGTTGTTTCTTGTTTGCAAATGAAAAAAATGCCAGATCTCATCAAACACCGTTTAGGCGTTCTTATAGACCATCATAAGAGTTTCGAGGAGGCAACCAGAGATGGATACCTCCTTTGCATTTTGTTAAAAATTACGGGATTATAGAGGAAGACCAATATAACCTGATAGATATGCAGGATGAACAGGGTTGTTTGAGTATTTCAATGAGTATATTGTTAGATAGCTGGCAAGAGTTGGGGTGAATTTGACACCAAATGACATCATGGATATCGAAGAAGTGAAGGAATGAACCTCCATTGCAGTGTTTCACAAGGATTTCATTAGTTAATACGTATGTTAATGTGTAAAAGAACAATTATACAAAACTAACTTTGTAGCACTAATGCTAAGTAAATCTTCAACAAATAAACAAACAAACTAACTTTTCTAAATAAAAGAGCTATTAGCAAGTACAAAAGATCAAAAGAAAATATTGCTCTGTCTATCTGGCATTGACGGATCCGTTAGAAATATGTGTCCTTTGTGGATATGGGAGATTTTGAAATATTACTAGATAATTAGCTGTCATTTTACCGTGATGGATACTCGTGAAAAAGACCGTACGATTTTCCCCATTGTTTTGCGTTTTTAAAAGTTTTTAGAAGTATTACGGAATATCACATCCAGGCGCTGAATTGTATTTTCCACTTGACATCATAAAATAAATTTCTATAAGATTTAAATGACTGGAAATAAAAATTAATGCGAAATGTAATAACTTTGTTACGTTCCATAAATAGTCCTGTAGGTATGTACCATATTCTCTCGCCTGTTAGTTTTAATATATTTAAGCAACCAAGGATTTTCTGTCCTTATCGCTATCTTTTTTGAAATTCAGCAAATTTGCATATGTAATTTTTAGGTTGAATAAGAAAAAGCGGATGCGCAACTAATTTTTAGCTTTGCATATACCTTAAGTAAGTGTATTGGAGTCAAGAAACCAATGGAATTATCATCAACACAGCATGTTACATCACATCAGAGCCAAACATTGAGAGCTGAATCGTCATGACGTTTAGCCAAGACGTACTCGACTGATCGAGTACACAACAAGTGTGGGTACAACAGCTAGTGCAAGGTTGACATCTTGTAGAAAAACCTTCATAATGTCACAAAAAAATTATATAATGTCAAAAAAAACAGACAGTGTCACTTTTCAAGATATGTAATACCCCTGTTGTTTTACTTTAATTATCATTCTAGAAAATTAGTAAAAGGCAAAGAATATTCAGGGTGATAATTAAAAATGTACTTTTCGTGTTTTCTTTTAATAGCGAAATCTTCGACAAGACATGCGCTGACGTCATATATCCAGTGAGATATGTATGTGCTTAAAATTACGTATCTCCCTGGTGTGTATCTTACTTTAAAACTTTCAATATATTTTCAACACATTTTTGGGGAGCTGTATTTTGCTGTAAAAACTTGAAAATAAAATAGTGGAAGTTCCCTAAGTCTTGGTAAGAAATGTTTACTTCTAGTATTGCGCCTGAATTCCTTTTTTAATTTCAAATTTGTTTTGTCTTCATCAAGTAGTACAGAAAATTGTCTATACCGGTTGTTTTAGACACGACTCTCATCAATGGGATTTCGGGAAAGGCGCCCCCTACTGAGCGGGTTATACTCAGTATACTTCTTCCAGTTCAAGTGATTATACATGTGTTAAGAAATACCTCAGTACCGATTGCCGGTTGGCAGTGCAAGTCCGCCAACGGATCACTTTACGTCTATTTAACATCATTAACAAGCAAAAAGAAGTTGGTAGACAAGGACCAGTCGACAGAGGAGGTACCACCCGGGTGTCTTAAGAATGTCTTCCTAACCTACGCAGTCGATTATCTTCCCCAACAATATAATTAATAATGATGGATCTGTCCAGTACAAAGGGAACAACATCGATGATAAAATGTGTTTCACGAACATCTGCGAGATTAACAGCAGCATGGATGCTATTCACCACCACCTGCAGTCTAATCGCCTCGCCATGCTTTTCTTGTCAGAGATCACAAGCTCAGATTCTCCACCGATTAATCACCTTGGCTTCTCAAATTGCGAAGTGCACCCCAATCTGAGGAAGAACGGGGGCAGTGCTGACGTTTGTCCACAGCAGTCAGAGACGTTTCTTTGGAATCAGGCCGGAAGGACATTCTGTGGCGTCGCCTCAACTCTCACAAATTTATTTGCTACCTTATCACCCCCCCTCGGACCATAGCTGGGATGACCTTGCCACGCCTTTTTTTTTGGTTAATTAATAAAACACAATGATGAATACTATCTGTCGGTTGGTCCAAGCAAAACAGTTGTCTAGTGGCGTGGAAATTTAGGCCTTAGCTCAATAAAGCGGAGAGTATGGGCGGGTTAAGAGCGCCAGTGACTTAGGACGGATTAAGCCACAACTCCCCAAGATGTTAGTCGAAACTTGTTTTGCTTGATCACCACACAAAAGGAGAATCTAACAGAGATGACGAAATTTAAGTAACAGTACATACAGAGAGAACCAAATAAACAAGATATCAAATGAATCACAATATATTGATTAAAAAGAACAAAACGCACGTATACTCCACCACTGGAGTGAGAGAAAGGATATTAAAAAAAACTGTCGAAAAATAAAATTAGTTGGCGTTTACCATGGTATACGCTTTACATATAGGGTGACTTTGAAGTTGAGTCATTAATTTTCAGATAATGATTGTAGAAGGAAGATAAACCAAAATATGTGTGTAAAAATTAAAAAAAAAATTAAAAAAATGTTACCTTGTTTTATAAAATATCCTCCCGACAAGTATTTCAGTGCGGACCTGTATTTGATCGTGCGGTCTTGGAGCACATACCCTCCCGTGTGAGGACTTAAGTCACCTGATTCACGAGCCGTTTGTACTACATTAACAAAGGCACTAGGGGTTGGTTGCACTCGATTGGGAAACCTATCCGCATAAATCCGTGTTGCCGTAGCAGCATTTTGTAAAATCAGAATCATGTCCACAAGTTCAGCATTTTCGTAAACATGTGCCATTTTTTATTACGTTTGAGCCACGCAGAAACACCACTAACGCGTTACCGACTGACACATCGTATGAATACAACTGAATAAAATAAATGAATAAAACATCGTGATAAGCGTTTCAAATTCTTTCGCTTTTTTGTTTCCGATTATATCCGTTGTTGCCAAACACGAGCACATATTATTATTGAGACAGGGCGGTACTCAAACTTCTAAAGGGCTATAACTTTGTTACTTTAATTTTACCACAAAAATGTTAAAGGAAAAAAACATTTCTTTTGATCAGATCTACTCACTGTTAAAATAAATGACTCAACTTCGAAGTCACCCTGTATGTTCTACGCCTAAACTACACTTATCTGGTTGGAAGTCTTCTCCCAGTTACGGCTAGGCGCAGCTGAGTAGTGGGCACGTCACTGGGCAGGGGCTGTTTGCCTCGGTCCCAAAAATTATGAGGGTAACAGGAAAAAAAGGCGTGGCAAATTTTGTGGCGCCCAACGTGGGGCCTTTCAAAGGGATGGCTTCCAATTTGCAAAACTGCAACGATGCAACTGACTGTGGGAGAAAAGAAGAGTATTTTCTTTTGTTTCGCTGAGGATCAAAATCCCATAAAAAATGGAAGACGTAGCACCCAAAATAACTAAACTCAAGTCACAAAACAAACGAAAAGGGTGCTAGTCTATGAATGGGTGCTTGGGGCCTTATATCCCAGAGTCTGGAAAACGACAAAGAGACCCCTGGACCACGACCTCAACGGAAGCTGAAAAGCGAATCACCGAATACGTAACGTTCTAGAGGAAGGAATCTTGAGTGGCCTTGAAGAAGATATATGTTTTATAGACAGCCAACTAACGGAGAAAAACTGCAGTGTTTTTTGCTGATCGTCAACACCATACTGAATCGCTGAGAAAGAAAGATATAGATATAATACGAGTGAAATTATACAATCAATAAACTATTAAATTTGCAAAAAGAAA